ATGACACAATAGTCAAAAATAAAGTAGTCAAAAGAAAACTTTATTTGACGGACACTTTATACAGATTGCACCTAAATTTTTTAGAAAGAGAAAATATTGTCATTTCTCGATCTAATTTTTATAAACTCAAACCTTTTTGGATTGTTGCAAAAAAAATGAACGAGCGAGACACCTGCTCATGTAAGCTGCATGCTAATTTTAAATTCCTGGTGAATAAATTATTTATATTCAAAATTGTCAAGTCAAAAAGTTGTATCGGGTCAGTGCGAGAATTTGTAAGTAACACTGCAAATAAAGTGTGCATCAACAGGAATTGTGTTAAGTGCCAAAAGAAAATAGTTGATAATGTCCAAAACGAAAAAACGTTTTACTACTAGCGCCAGAAAATGATTAAATGCGGGTTTTTGTAAAGTTATTGTAAAAATTTAATGATTTAGTATCATTACGAATGTTCAGTTTATTGGAATTGCTCAGCATTCTGAAACTTGAGTTGCCACTTGTATAATTATCATCAGAAACACGATATAATTTAAAGCTAACACAATCATTGTTCATTTAGTAATGTTACTCAAAACACGATTTATAATACAGTCGGCAACAAAATTATCGCAAAAAAAAATTTGATTGAAATTTTATCGATTTTCAAATGCTTCTATCTTGGGCTATATTTATCGTATCGACACGGTCTTTTATTTATTTCTTCGAAATTTTGTCCTCTTTAAATCCATATATACTATGGTAAGATTCGAGTCAATGTCGAGTTACCAGTAGTATTTGAGCGCAACACTAAAAATTACTGAAAAAAATTGATTGTTTAAACGTGTCTATGAACTACAGTAATTTTTTTATTGAAATCTAACATACACCATCGCAAAGTACTCTTTTCCACCAGTAATTTAAATAAAAAAAAAGCTCTCTATGATTTTTCAACGCTATGTAGTACGATTTGTGTACGCAAAATGCTCAGAAAATCGTCTTGATTTCAGCTAAACGAGGGATTTTACGTACTTTAAATGGTACGTTCAAAACGACCTACAGGGCGTTAAAAAAATCGTAGAGAGCTCTATTTTTTTTAAATTACTCGTTGAAAAGAGTACTATGCGATGGTGTATGTTACACACGTTTAAACAATCAATTTTTTTCAGAAATTTTTAGTGTTGCCCTCAAATACTACTTGTAGCTCGACATTGACTCGAATCTTATCATAGTATATATGGATTTAAGGAGGACAAAATTTCCAAGAAATCAAAAAAAAGACCGTGTCGATATGATAAATATAGCCCAAGATAGAAGCATTTGAAAATCAACGAAATTCCGATGAAATTTTTTGTTGCGATAATTTTGTTGCCGAGTTTATAATTGTCATCAGTAAAATGTTAACTAAAACACGATATAATTATAAACAAACCCACGTACCGATACACAAGTAATACTAATTAAAATTCATAAGAAGATAAATAATATATAAAAATTCATACTCATTCATAGAAAAAATGCATACGAATTGCATAAAATTATGTTTCATCTACCAAATGGATTATAAAAAAATTCCCGTCGAATTTGACTGAATATAAAAGTAGTAGGCATAAAAATTCAGATATAACTTTTTATGTCACATACATAAAAAGTTACAAGTGAATTTCTATGGGTGTTATCGGCAATTTCTTTTGTAAAAAATAGCTAATAAATTTAGGAGTTCAATTTCATATCGGAATTACGTTAAATTGATGTTTTAATGTTAATTTTTCTCTTTAATATTTAATTGTGGGAGGACAATATCTATTTTTTTAAATCATTATTCCTCATTGATATGCAATATAATTTGCATAATCAATCCTTTTTTGCAATGCGCAGTAATACCCCCACTTACCCTATGTCATCTATCCTTCACAATTTATTCCTAAAAATCGAAAGTCGAACGTGAGTGTGAGTGAGCCCGCGCCGTGCCCCTGCACACACGCAAACACGCATACATACAGACAAACACGATCGCTTCCGTTTAACCAATGAGAGAAAGAGAGAGTGAGAGAGAGAGTAAGGAAAACGACTCGATAAGAAATTTGTCGATGTTCGTGTATATCGTGCGTAAATATATAAGCAAATCTATACAATTTGCCAGTCAAATATTCGGTTGAAAATTACGTTGTTTTAAAAGCCAAAATATTTATTTTCTGACGTTTGGTGAGAGTTCTCCACTTGAAATCAGTTACTGGCCGCTGTACAGAATAGAAGGTTTGACAAAGTATAAACAGACGAATCCGTCTATTATTCGTGAGCAATACAAACGTAAACAATTTTGACATCGACCCGTGATACGCAGCAAAACAAATTTATACAAGCGTGTAGGGTTCTACGCGCCCGAAGCAGCTGCCGCGCGCACGCTGATAAGTCGCAATTTTTTCTGAAAAATTAAAATACGAATAGGAAAAAATTATAATGGGCTTTTTACATAACGTCACGAAGTAGCCACTTTACCCAAGAATTGATTTTTCTGGTGGCATAACCGCGCGCTCGTATATATACTCTACGTATTAAAGTTTATTAATTCATGTGCTTATAATTAGTTCACAGTTTAGTGAAAAAATAAATAAATAATATTACAATAAAACCGAAATACTCCTCTTTCCAAATATTAAATAATACAGTACACTTACGAATTCGCGAAGTGAGTGATTCTCAACGAATCCAGTTTGAACCCTCGCTACGCTCGGGCATCAAACTGAATTCATTGAGAATCACTCACTTCGCGAATTCGTAAGTGTACTGTATTATTTAATATTTGGAAAGAGGAGTATTTCGGTTTTATTGTAATATTATTTATTTATTTTTTCACTAAACTGTGAACTAATTATAAGCACATGAATTAATAAACTTTAATACGTAGAGTATATATCGTCGCCTCAGTGCAAGAACCGCACAAATAAACTCAAGTGGCAAAAAGGTGCCTTAATCCTATCCTTTTAACATAGGGATAAGGTTGTTTTTGCCCCTTAAGTTTATTTGTGCGGTTCTTGCGCTGGGGCGACGATATACGAGCGCGCGGTTATGCCACCAGAAAAATCAATTCTTGGGTAAAGTGGCTACTTCGTGACGATATGTGAAAAGAGCCTGTTATAATGTACTTTTCATATAAACACCACACATCATAATCACCAGGCATTTACTTGTTTAAAAAACACGTTTAGGCGCAGAGTCGATGTTGACTTCGCTCGATCGATTTTTCGACTTTTTTCGGACGCCGGTATAAATTATGTTCACAGATCGAAAAGTCCTGTATACAATACAGATTCGGGAGCTGTTAATTATGTTTGTATTCAGATTATTGGGCCTAACTCTGCGGTACTGCAATGCAGAGAAGACCCGTGGCAAGGCCGGAGCAAGCCCCAGGCGCCATGCCGAGTTTCAAAAATCAGTTCGATATGCTAGAAGTCATATAGACTTCGTATTAGATATCAAGCTAATAAGAACAGATACTACACTTTGATCTTAGCCAAAAGGCCGAGAAGCGATGCTGCTGCTCTGTTTTTACTCACATTTAACTACAGAACTTTAATTTTTTACTTTTGGATTGAATTATGACCTCTAGCGGTGAAATTCGAAGTTCGCCGCCGACGAGCGTATGGGTTTCCCTCTCCCCAGCTACTTTCTACTGACTGTTACATACGTCTATTTGTACATCAAAGTCTGTTATTTAGCTACGTATATAATATATACATTTTTTAAATTGAATAATAATATTTGGATAAATCAATTTTATGATTAGAGTGCGTGCGGTAGATCGTCACCGAAAAATGCGATAGAGGAATATTTTTTGCTTCAGAAACACTAGATTTGCATAGCACTCACGTTCCCTTACACATTTATTTGTTATTCAAATATATTTCAAATAGCTTCATATATATTTCAAGTGCGTCAAAAATTTATAAAGGGTTCAATGATTGGATCCGAAAAAAATTCAACCATAAAAACGCCTCTTTTTGTAAAGCTGCAATTTTGGATGGTAAATAATTGATTGAGATATTTTTAAACACCATCACTGCAAAGAGCATCCTCAAAAACATAAAACGTGGTAGTTTGTTATTGTAAAATAATAGATATTGAATTAACGGCGAAAATCCAAATAAAAAACAGCAACTTTCGATGTTTCCACATAGCGTTTTCTGACACTTGTAACATCCCTTCACAAAATTCCACTGAGTTTTAAACGCTTCAATAAAAAATGATTGTTAACATCAATTATCAATAATTTTTCAAATTTACTACAATATATTACGTAACAAGTGCGTGAAGCAGATGACTCGCTTAAATGTTGTTTTTACCTGATCGCAGCGAGGGTAAAATTTCGTGCGAAAACGTTTTCATGACACTGAAAAATTTGAAAAACCATGTTCTTAGTTGAAAAATCAGTGGAATTTTGTACAGGGACAATGCGAAATATCAGAAAATGCTATGGTAACATCAAAATGTCCTGTTTATCTTATAGTCTTTCGTCGTCGGAAAAAGTTATTTCTTATTACATTTTTTCAACGTAAAATGTTAATTATCTTAAAATATATCAAGTTTAGAGACAAGCGTCAATCGACCTCTTTTGTTTAAAATAATCGAATAAACTAAAAACGTTTAGGGCAAAAAAATCACCAAAGAAAATTTTTCCCAACCCTGCGAAACTGGGGCTCAGGGGATCACGTCGAGAGTTGTGATTTTTGTACTCTTGGAGGACAGATGGTTTTGTTGATAATTTTTTGGGTCAAGACTTACTTCTTATAACAGTGGTAATGTTACCGTGAGATCTATATTTGCATTATCGTGAGGATGAGGGGTACATTTCCGCGAAGCAAAATGGTAATCCATTGTTCGCCTCGAGATGATATCACACTAGACCGACTAGACCTAAAGAAGCGTAATTTTTCTTTGAGTCAAGGCTTGCACGATTGAATCTCGAGTCTTATTCGACAATAATCATAATAATGTACGTACATTTCGTCTGCTACAGACTACAGTGCATGGCCGGATCTCGGCGTATCGTTTCAAAACAAAGCACTTACTCTTTTGGACGTCGCGTCTGAGATTGATTGAATAAAGACGTTTTGTTTATGAAAAGTAATTTATTTGTAAAAAACAGCCACAAGATGTTTGTCAATAAGCTTCGAGCTTTTATTTCCTGTCCTTCGCAGTGTCGTCACATGGGTATGCTTGTCAGATTTTGCATTGTTAGAATCTGAAACTTATATAACCTAAATCAAAGTTTTATATTTGAATTGTTAAATTAATTTATAAAAAATATTTGATATTAATTGATGTCAGATCTATGTTTGCAGCTACTGTCAAAAGGTTCTACAAGAACACAGGAATATTGTCAAATGGTGATAAGTTTGAAATAACTTTAGATCAAAGACGTTTGAAGACACCAATGGGAAAGGAATTTTATGTAAAAAGTAAACCATTGGCTTTGGCCATTGCTCATGAATGGGACAGTCAAAAAGATATCATTAATCGCACTAATATGCACTTGGTATGATTTTTAAAATGATAAAATTTAAATACCAAACCAATTTATCATTTTGTAATTCAATACCTTAATTTCAGACTGCTTTAAGCAGCACAGTACTAGATAATCCAAATAAACTTACAAAAAGTGATATTGCCAAATATATAGTTGATTTTCTAGAGACTGATGCGTTACTCTTCCAGGCCAGTCCCAATGATAGTGTAAGTCAATTTAAAAAAAAAAATTGAAAATTTACTTCATCAATGGTTTATTGAAAATGTTTTTTATCTCAGGAAACAGACGAATTGTATAAATTACAACAGGAAAAATGGGATCCTGTAATTCAATGGTTTTGTGATAGATATAGGGTAAACATTGTTAAAACAAGGAGTATAGATGCACCCAATGTACCACAAAGTACAAAAAATGAATTAATAAAACATTTGTTATCTTACAATGAAGAGGCAGTTTTTGGTAAGTTTATTCAAACAGCTATTTGTATAGTATCAACAATTTCAAGTATATTGCACTGATTATTATAGGAATAGTAAATTGTATCACTTGTATCCTAGTCATGGTTTAACATAAACAATATTAAAGTAGAATGATTATTTACAGGTTTCATGTATGGAGTAGATACTGTGAAATCTGTTATTTTGACATTAGCAGCATCGGAGAGAGTTGTGAGCGTTGAAGAAGCTGTTGCACTTTCTCGATTAGAGGAAGAGTTTCAGGTATACATTAATAATTACATGTACAAGTATGTAAACTACTATCACAATACAAAATACTAAAATACGCTCGTTGTCTTTTCTTTGTTTAGATATCGCATTGGGGCAATGTAGAATGGTCGCATGAACTATCGAAATTCGACTTGCAATCGCGCATGGCTGCTGCAATTTTGTTCATCCACTTGAACTCGTCTTTCACACATAATCAATCAAAATCAAAGATTACAAACGCTAGTTGAGGATGAAAATTTGGCTTCTCACGTTATTGCGTCGAGTGCGAGAGCTGTGGATTTCTTTCGCATTTGAGTATTTCATTTGCTGTTAGCGTGGCACAATGAGTTAGAGCTAGTGCAATTGATAGGACTCGAGCAATCGGATCCTTCCCAGCCTTTCATGCAAATGCAGCTGTAAATAGAAACAATCTCATTTATAATTACGCAAGAACTGTAAAAAAAAAAGAATGAAAATAATAATAAAGTACGTATTTGTAAAAACTTTACCTGTAAGTCGGGCCGTAATTCAAACAAACCGCACCGTTCTTGCACGAGTGACGAAGGCACTCGTTGCGATGGCACTCGCCGACTCCTCGGCCGGTCGCCGGGCTCGACATCGTCACCACCGGGAAGACCGTGTCGTCGGTTCTCAGCTCTACATCGTAAATGCAGCCAGAGAAGCCCGTATGAAGCGGCAAGTCGTGTGGCAGCGCCTCAAAATATCTTGATTTGTGGCCACCTTGGGATACGAACGAATGAGAAGGAAAATAAATGAAAGAAGAAAAATCATCATGTTTATCCACAACGCTTACCGATGTAAAGAATCGGCGAAACGTCGAGGCGCGTATTGGCGCCGGCGGCCCGGCCCGTGACGTTTCCGATGCCGTCGACGTAGAGCCAGGACTCGCGGCCCCGCCTGCCGATCTGCAGGTAATGCGCCTTGGACGGCCTCAGACTGAGCGGCGAGCTGGTGAAGATGCGCCTGACGCCCGAGCCGAGGTCCCAGGTGAGCATGAGATAGCCGCGCACGTACGTGACGGAGAAGTGGTCGGACGAGTCGCGTCTCGTGCCCGTCGACTGGCCCAGATACGCGATCAAGGATATCTGATCCAGAGCTTGAGGTATGATGCGCAGCCTCAGCTCCATGCTGTCCTTCAGCGAGCTGCTCACGCCGTAGGCCATGTAAGACGAGACCCCCGGCGAGAATATTGTAAACGATGGCTGGGCTATCGTCGTGTCTGAGCGAAGAAAACAAAAGATCTCCGTTACCACGTTTGCTATCGTAAGCAATCTATCTTAGAATCGCGTCGAAATATTGAAACGCGCGTTGTCGTACCCTTGTCGCAGAATTGGCCGTGGGTGCCAAGCGGGCAGACGCAAATGAAATTGACCCCGGGCGAGGCCAAGCACGTGGCTCCCAAGTGGCAAGGATTGTTGTCGCAGGCCGATTTCTCGCAGAACTCGCCGGTATATCTACGCAATGGAACGCTCGATTAGTACAATTGCTTGTAGCTCGGTCTTGTACAAGAAGATAATTTTTAAACTCACCCAGACACGCAACTGCAGATGATCTTACCATCTGTCTCCTCACAAGCTCCGTAATTCTTGCAAGGACTCGACAGGCAGAGGAACGAGTTGCACTCCTCGATGTGGACCGCCTCGACGGCGTCGCGAATAAAGTCCCGTTGAAGGCCGTTCACCTGTGCTCACAAACGGTCGAGTCTCGCTTACTCTTTGGATAATTGAATTTACAATCGTCTTTTTATAATTTTAATATACGAATTACCCTGAGCGAGCTCATGCAGCCCACGAAGCCCATAACGATCTGGGGAAACTGATGGGAGAAGGCCACGGGTATGCCGCCCAGGTGAAGCCTCGCGTACTGGGGCACGGCCTCGTGGCCGTGCAGGAGCTGCTCGCCGCTCATGGCGAGGCTGCCGTTGACGAGTAGGCGCGCCGAGCACTTGTCCGAGGCGGCCTCGACGATGTAGCTGAAGCTCATCTCGACGTCGACGCCGTGGCCGTTGTTGACCGGGGCGTCGAGCTCGCCGAACATCATGGTCTGCAGGCCGCAGGAGAACTGGAACTTGAGCTGGCCGGACTCGATGTAGAGGAGTACGTAGCGCTCGTCGTCGAACAGGGCGTGCACGATGATGCCGCTCTTGGCCTTGGTCCTCAGCCCGATGAAGATGTCGAGCTCGCCCGAGTCGATCGCGAACTTCTGACGGATGTAGGACTTGCCGTTGAAGGCCGCGTGCTCGACGCTGCTGACGCCACCAGCAGGGCTCGTGACCACCGGTCCATCGAGGCGGCAATTGTCGCGGTGGCTGCAGTCGCACTGTGCTCGATGAGAATAAGAACAAAAACTGACTCGTGATATATGCTCGCGAGATCGAAAGATCGATCGAACTTACGCGTGTTCCGTTGTCGACGCAGAGCGACACGTTCGCGCACTGATCTTTGTTGCAGGCATGAACCGACGCAACGGGTGGTCTCTCGCCGATCGTTGGCTGCTCGTCCGTCGCTGTCGTCGTCGTCGTCGTCGTTGACATCGTTGGAACGTTCATGTCCACGCCAAAAGTGACCCTGTGAAACTCGGTGACGCTGGTGAAGTCCTCGTCGGTGCTGCTGTCGATCGTGCTGGCCGTTTCGAGCACTTCGATGGTCTGCGAGGTCGGCCTGGCGGTCATGATCGGCCGAGCAGTCATACGCGTACTTCCGCTTAGAACCGATCCCGAGGTATCGCTACCGGTCGGTGTTGGTCTCACGGTAGAATCTCCGCCGCTACTGCCACCCGTCGTTTCTTCCTCTCGACCTGGCGATTCGACTGACGCGACTCCCTTTGAAATCGGTAGATCGTTCGCAGTCGTAGCAACAGGCGCGATCGTTCTCCAGTCATCGCGATCGCTCGTGGTAATCGTAGTTTTGCTCGAATCGGTAAACGCGTAAGTCTTCGGAGTCGTTGTGGTCGTTGTCGTCGTAATTTCGTCGGAAAGCGTGATGAGAGTTTTGATGGTGGTCGCGTTATCCCCGATAGACTTATCAGCTCGAGCGTCGGTAGTGTGCATCAGTGCCGGATAAACCGTCTCGACGAATTCCGTCGTGAACAACGTAAAAGCTGAGCCATCCTCGATACTTTTCATGGTAGTCGGCAGCTCGTGAAAGTCGGGCCGAAGGTCGGGCGGTAGTATCGTCGTAGTGGGCGGTGGAACCGCGGCCTCCTCGTCGCCCTCGCTACGGCTCTCCAACGGCAGAGTCGTGTACTCCGTCGTAGGTTGCTCGCTCGGCAGATCGGCCATGGTAGTCTTTTTGAGCGGGTCCTGCGGGTCGTAGCGAACACCAGGGGACACCGTGCTCGGCTCTCGACCCGTCGCGTTACCATCCTCGTGCCGAGCGGTAGCCTCGGAGACCCTCGCGACCGACGAGCTAGCGGTAGTGATCGGTAGCAGATCGGTAAGACGAGTCACCGTCGGTTCGCCGCCGTCGGTCGTGGCGTAGCCGAACGTGACCGGGGCCAGCGTCTCCGCAGTCGTGCCGGTGCTGGCCACGGTGGCAGCGGTGGCGACTTCGTGGACGGTGGACCAAGACGACGGCGGCAATCTGAGCACGTGGTTGCAGTTGGGGCCCGTGTAGGGCGGCGGACACGAGCAGGTGTAATTGTTGACGCCGTCGATGCAGGTGCCGCCGTTGGCGCAGTGGGCGTTCTTGGACTCGCAGTCGTCGTAGCGCTGCTCGCAGAACTGGCCGTGATAGTCCGGCACGCAGTAGCAGACCGGCTGCGAGTCCTCGGACAGGCAGACGGCGTTGTTGGCGCAGGGATTGCGCTCGCAGGGCACGACGCGCTTGTCGCAGTCCTTGCCCGTGTAGCCGAACAGGCAGGCGCACGCGTAGCTGCCCGGCAGATTGATGCAGAGGCCCGAGTTCCGGCAGGGCGTCGACGACGACGAGCACTCGTCCACGTCCTGGTCGCAGAGCGGGCCCTGCCAGCCGTCGGGGCAGCGGCAGACGAAGGAGAGGCCCGGACCCTCCTGGCACTCGCCGCCGTTCCGGCAGACGGTCTGATTGCAGACCGAGGCGTCGATCTCGCAGTACTCGCCGCTGAAGCCTTCGAGGCAGATGCAGCTGAGGCCGCCCTCGCGATCGAGGCAGGTGCCGTTGTTGAGGCACGGCTGGTTCATGCACTCGCTGTAGCGCTGCTCGCAGCTCAGGCCCACGTAGCCCTCGGGGCAGCTGCAGTTGTACGAGGCGATGGCGTCGCTGCAGGTGCCCCCGTTGAGGCACGGGCTCGACCAGCAGTCGTCCCAGTTGATGTCGCAGTCGATGCCCGTGTAGCCGTCGATGCAGTAGCATCGGTAGGAGCTGCAGCGATCGACGCGGTGCGTAATAATATATATTCGGGCGTGTCATAATGGTAATGTTTTTGGCAAACCTGTTGGGGTCGTCGACGCAGATGCCGTACATGCACGGATTGCTCCTGCAGTCCTGGCGCTGCGGAATCGTCGCCTCGGCCGGGATCGCGTGGACGATCAGCGCGAGCACGAGCACGACCAAACTCTCGTACTGCCTGCAACGATCGTCGCGGTGTACATGAAATCAAACGGCCGCACGTGCGTAAACGCGCGCGGGCAAGCCGATAATTCGAATCGCAAGCTCGTGTATCATGGTATTTATGCCAAACGAATTATCGAAAAAGTGCAAATTCAGCTATACGTATACAGCGATATGGTATAGGCTTCGAGAACCCGGTAAATGTATAATCGAGCCTTATACGTGTATGGATTACGTTACCTCGGCATCATTCGCTTCGGCTGGACCTCATGCGCGTCTGCACGAACCGATGCACAGTGCCAATGGCGCGTGCACAGCAGCACGCGTGTACGCACACGGTATAGGCGCGTGCGAGCGATTTACTGCAAGTGCGCAAGTATGACGAATGTGTATGCGTGCAGGCAGGTGTATATACATACGAGATGTGTCACGAGCCGCCGTCGCCGCTGACGCTGCCGCTGCTGTCAAGGGGTGAGCCGCACATTGAACAAGCTTTTTCCGACTTGCCAGTCAGTCGTCATGGCGACCCTTGTAAACATAACATCGGCTCGCTGTGTGGGTGCTCAGTACCTATAAAGGAGCGCTAAGGCCACGATACGTACGTTACGGATATAAATACGTATACTCGGCGTGCCTTTACGCAAGCATCGCAAGCTCTCGTGTGCAATAAGCGTACGATATACAATACATATGAAAACCGCAGCTCTTGTGATACATACATTCTCTCTCTCTCTCTCTCTCTCTCTCTCTCGCTCACTTGGCTTCAGGGTTCTTGACTTACTTATACTTTGTACTATAGGCAGGCGAGGAGGCGAAATCACGCGTGCAACGTTCTCTCCCTCTTTCTGACTTTGTATATGCTATGGTGCACATGGTCGCGTGTTTCGTATCAATGACGCGCGACCAACTAGTTTAGCTTGTACGTACACCCGCAGCACCCTATACGCTCGTATAATGAAGGCTCGACCGATCGATTTTCTCGCTCTTTCGCATCAACTTATTACGGAACGTATGGCGCGCACCTGGCATACTCATACCTACATACCTGGCACCGATTTGCACGGATATCGCTTAATCGTCTTTGAACGCGATTTCATTTCTTACGGTTTGGATATAAGCTGTGTGTAGGTATGTAAGCAAGCCTCGCGTGCACGACGTCGCCGACGCAAAAAGTTCGGATATATACCGGCCGATTAATTGCTACACAAGCCCAATTCGAATGCATCATTTTTTGGTACAATATGTAAATATAAATGCTAAGCTTTTTTTATGGATCGCGTCGATGCAATATACGCGGAAAGAAGCTCACACAACTCAGACCCGATGGTGCGCTCAGTCAACGCACGATCGTATAATTACACGAGTGTGGCAGCTCGATGCTTCCGAGTGCGATGTGCTCTCATCGAGCACGGATATTTTATATAGCGCACGTTCTTACCACATAATCGAGCTTTGAGCGACCGAATGAACACGAACGAACTAACGAGCGCATTTAGATGTATATGCGTACGATAGGCGAACGCGTCGCGCAAATCTATTTTAAACGCGATCGGAGAGCGAGAGCGCTTGTGAAAGCCCCGACGAGAGAGGCGAATTAAAATCCGCATATACCACGCTGGCCCGAGAGGCCGTTTAGTCGACGACTTTTACTCCATCCGAGAAAGTGGCGAATTTAGCGCACGTTAATTATAATGACGGATCAATTGGTCGAGCCCGCCTGCGTGGACGAGCAGCTACGTAGACATTTGCAGGGCCATGGAATATTGGAAACGGGTCAACAGACCTGCTGGACCATCGATTATTCCAAACTCAGTGAGTTTCATTAAAGCTACTTACATCGTTCTCTCGCCAATTCGATTATTTATACGCACGTTTTACAGGCGGCAGAGGTGTAATAGCCAGCAGAGACGTAGCCAGCGACGAGCTCGTCTACGAAGACGCGCCGGTGGTGCAGGGGCCGCGATGCAACGACAAGTACCCGCCCATGTGCGTGGCCTGCCAGAAAACCGGCTGCGCCCTGTTCCCGTGCGATCGGGGCTGCGGCCTGCCGGTCTGCTCGGACGCCTGCCAGGACGATCCGCGACATCGCGACGTCGAGTGCCCGTATCTGCGCGAGCTCGAGCCCGACTGCGGTAGCGACTGGTCCCTGCCGCTTTTGCAGGCCCTCGTGCCCGTCAAGGCGCTGCTGCTCGAGAGCCATTTCAAGGATATATTCTATTGCTTCCAGTCGCACGGCACACCCAAGTACGGACGCGAGGTACGTACCATTTCGTGGCGTTTTGGATTTTACGATAATTATAGTTATGTATTGAGTCGGATCAAAAATGACGAAAGCCGCAGAGAGATTCTTTTTTTAGTTAGAAAATATATTTCGATTTACAGGCAATCCCCGCTATTCGCGGTTAATTCGTTCCCGAAAAACACCGCGAATACCGAAACCGCGAATACCGAAACAGAATCCCCGTTATTGCGGATAGACCTAATAGTTGACTCATTAACCTCGAATCTACGTGCAATTATGGCAATTTTTCTCCTTCTTTTATTAGCTCCAAAATCTTGAGCTTTTGACCAAAATCCATCACAGCTTTATTAAAATTATTACTAAACAACCGTGAAGTAAACCGCGAATAAGCGAATCCGACTCCCGCGAATAGCGAAACAATGGCTCAATTAAAGAACCGCGAATAAGCGAAACCGCGAATACTGAGTACCGCGAATAGCGGGGATTGCCTGTATACAATATACACAGACTTTCAGACAGTTCGGTATTTTACAAAAATGTTCAATGAGCGTACACCAGAATGTTTTGTACATTTAAAAGGCGCGTGAATAACAAAAATTTACGGACAGGAACGTTGACGTTTGGCGAGTATGGCTTTGCCCACTCTCGAGCAATTGGACACGTTGATCTGTTTGGTGATGAAATCGCCAACGTCGACGAGACGATCCAAATCCACGCCGGTCTTCATGCCCTCGCCGTGCAGCATGTGGACCAGGTCCTCGGTGGCGACGTTGCCCAGGGCGCCGGGCGCGTACGGGCAGCCGCCCAGGCCCGCGACCGAAGCGTCGAACACCCGCAGACCTTGATCGAGGCACTCGTAGATGCTGGCCAACGCCTGGCCGTAGGTGTCGTGGCAGTGGGCCGCGAGCCGGCTCGTCAACGCGTCGGGCCCGGCGACCGCGCGCAGCTCGCCCAGCACGGCAGCCCAGGCCTTGGGTGTACCGGTGCCCACGGTGTCGGCCAAGCCCACCTCGTCGCAGCCCATGTCGAGCAGTTGGCCGGCGATCTCGGCCACTCGGGCCGCGGCGATCGGTCCGTCGTAGGGGCAGGCGATGGCGCAGCTCAGGACGGCCCGCACCCTCGGCGCCCCGGGTCCGCTCTCGACCAGCAGTTGGCGGGCGGCTCGGACGCGCTCCAAGCCCTCGGCCACCGAGCAGTTGGTGTTGCGCTTGCTGAAGCTCTCGGAGGCGGCGGCGATGAGCACGACCTCGCGGGCGCCGAGTCGCAGTGCCTCGCGGGCTCCCTTCGCGTTGGGCGCCAGGACGGCGTAGCGCACACCCTCGCGAGGGCTCAGCTGCTCGAGGACCTGGGGGCCGTCCGACATCTGGGGCACCCAGCGAGCCGAGACGAGACTCGCCACCTCGATCGTGCGCAGGCCCGTGGCGGCCAGTCGCTCGACCAGCTCGACTTTCGTCGCTGTGGGCACTTGTTGAGGCAGATTCTGTAGGCCGTCGCGTGGTCCGACTTCGACTAGGCGAACTTCGTCGGCGTAACCGCGCCGAACGAGACTCAGCGCGGCTCGCTTCAAGCAATTTCGGGAAAACATGTCTCTGGCGTCGACTTAAATTTGTTTATAATCTCACTTTGCTTTGTATTTGTGCATCGGTGATCGATCTGAAATCAATCAATCTAATTAATACAAGGTGTATTAAGATTTTGTCGAGTCATTTTTAGATCAATGGAAAAAAAAATTTTTTAACTTAATTTCAATAATTTTTTCATAAATCATCGGAATATTTTCAAAACAAACGTCCGAATTCACCACAAGTCTTTAATTAAAAGAAATCACGGGTATTCAGATTTGTCTTTATCTCCCACACAACTCTTAAAAATTGAAAATTGAAGTACTTTATAGTATAACAGTAAGAAAAGTATCGGAATATTTACCACAAATGCAAAACTCGCACAGTCTGCAAAGCAGCTGCTCCAAGCATGGGGGGCACTGATAGAGTATTACCGCGGATTAGACGCCGCGATAACGCAAAAACATATTTGCACAAAAAGCATCACCAACACACGAGCACACGCATAGAGAGTGCGTAAATCGCTGCCATATTAGCGCGGTAAATTCGAAAGCCAATATGCACGTCCTCGGCAACGAAATTCAACCCGATTTTCCCAAGCAGGTCGACATGCTGAAGAAGAGCGTGAAGAATCCGTTGAAGCCCGAGGACGAGGAGTTCATGCGACTGGTGTGCCGAGTGATGGACACGAACTCGTTCGAGACGGCGGCCATACGCGCCGACGACGCCACGAGTCTGCGGGCGCTCTTCCCGCTGGGCTCGCTGACCAATCACCAGTGCGTGCCGAACACGCGCCACTTGGTCGACGACCGGGGCCACCTGCTGGTCTACGCCGTCAAGCCCATCGCCAGGGGCCAGGAGATCACCATGAGCTACGCGGATCTGCTCTGGGACACGACGCTGCGCAGGCAGTTCCTCCTGGCGACCAAGTACTTCTCGTGCCTGTGCTCCAGGTGCTCGGATGCGACGGTAGTACAGTCTTCTTTTTTCTTCGATTCGAACCAACCGATAATTTATTCGACTGTGACTTTTTTTTCGAAGGAAGCTGGCTCGATGCTTGGAGCTCTGCACTGCGCTCACGATTCTTGTCCTGGCAAATTACTGCCTAACGAACCTCTGGACTTTAATACAAACTGGGCTTGTACTTCATGCCAACTAGTCATTAAAGCTAAACAGGTAAAACTCTGGCTTTGATTTAAAAAGTAACAACGTTTACTGGAATCATTACAAATTGCAGATTGCTTCGATAAGAGCAGGAATATCGGCAGCCGTTGAGGAGTTCAAGTATAAGAGCCCAAGGCGAATGCTTCGCTTCATTATCAGAGAGCTTAGTATTCTTGTTCCACCGACCAATTACGTCATGATGTCTATGATGTTTAGAATTATATCAATATTTGGACGATCCCCGGGTCTTGAGTGGTCAGGTGAGTTAGAAATGTAATTATGATACAATTTAAAAACATCAGTAAGTATCCACTGTTATTATTTTAGAGCTCACCGATGAAGAACTGGACATAAAAATTCAGTATTGCGATCGACTTATTTACTGTTTAGACACACTCAACTGCGGTGATTGCACGAAAAAAGGTAATGAATATGTGAAAAAAGTGAAAATTGAAATTATAATCTTCATGTTTGTTTATAGGATTGATTTTGTATGAGTTGCACTGTGCAAACGTCGAGAAGATGAAAAGACTTTCAGAAAATGAAACAGATCAGTCTGATAACGTCCAAAATGAGGTATATTGAACAGTTTAACAGTTTTTGATTGTACGGATATTAAGAAAATTAATTTTTAACTTTACCAAATTATATTTCAGTCGATTCTATCAAAGGCATTTGAAATTTTAAAAAATGATGCAATAACACCACTTGACTACAGGGAAGCATATAACGTTAAAACATCTGTTTCGTGTACAATATAAATGATCAACTTTAATTAATATTTTATTGTCACAAAATACCTTTTACACATTCATTCACCAATAAATGATTACCATTTACAATGTTATCTATATTTATTTTACTAAATTCATTAACTTCTAACAAAGAAATTACGATTATTATGCTGATTGTGCAAGAAGAGTTTTTACTTCTTCGTACATATTTGAACAAGGCTTGAGATTTTCTACATCTTCTTCGTCTAGTTTATCTTTCAGTCTATAAAAAGAAAACCAAAAGTACAAAATAAGTAAAACAATTTACAATATAATTATAAATATTTATCATGAAGTATAATCACCTGTACAGTATGTCATCGGTAAGTACCGTTTTTAAATTAGTGTTTTGAGAAATTTGCTCCCTTTTCAATGCAGTGTGTATCAATGCTACATCATTCAACAGCAATGGATCAGATTCTGTAAGTATACAAATTGTAACATTATTATAAAGTGTTAATTTATTATTTCATGTTTTTCTATTAAAATAAGACTAACCATCATTGGAATATTTTTTAAGTAGTTTTTCAACATAATCGGTGCCCGCGGCTTTAACGGAAATACCGATGCGTTGGAACACAGCTTTGCATTGCCATCGATTGTGTACAGATTCAAGACTAGTATTGGTTGATCGTCTTGGTTGAGACTCTTTAACCAGACTTTCCCAGTCAACTCCAAGAGCATCGCCCAAGCCCTTACAGCTGGTTTTGACATCTTCCTCCAATTCACCGTCGGATATTTCTTCAAAGTCCATAGTCTCCATGCTCTCCTCCTCAATGTTTTTATGACTGAAGGCATCGGAATCCTTGTCTTTGAATACAGTATCCTCGAGAGCTTTTGGCGAAGCGTGCGCCAGATCTTGGCTCTTGACCGAGGCCGAGTCGCGATCCGTATCCGCTAGTTTTCTCGGCAGATTTTTATTTTCTGCAACACTGATTTCCTCTTCCATATTGAGTATATCATCGGGATCATCGCTGATGTCACTGAGATCACTTTCCGCATGATTGACAACAACCGGTAGCGGTTCTTCGATGCGCTTCGGTTCCGGAGGCGGTGGTGGTGTCTCCTTCGGCGAAGGCTCGGCTTTGTCGGTTTTCGGTACTGGCAGCAGACTTCTGCGTTCACCGGATTTTTCGCGACTGGCACGAGGTCGACCCTCGGCAAGTTCCATAAGTTTCTTATTGATTGGTTCGTCCTTCATACTGTTATGCAAAGCCTGCTTAGCGGCGTGACTAGGTAATTCCTCGCGACGCTCTGGAGTGCTGTATGGTCTTCGTTTTCTGCGAGAAAATAGTGAAGGTTAAAAATCATGATCATTCCGAAAAGCATAGTTGCAATCTCATTTACTTACCCATGATCCGAAATGATCTCCAACTCTTTAGCGATGCGATCGTTACGATAAGGCGGTCGAGGCATATGTGGCCCTTGGCTGTCCCACTTACGCTCAGGCAACAATGGGAGCGAAGCATCGTAACGAGGTTGACCAGACCAGGCATCGTCAGGGGCTGCTCCACCAGCTGGGGGCAAGCTCTCGCGATCCCACATAGCCTGTCGACTTCGCCAGTCGCGCTCGTCCCACTCGCTGGGCGGGTAAGCTTCGTGCGGGACCTGAGGAGGCGCGTCCCAACTCTCCTTGACCGGATCATCGCGACGGCCGCGGCTCGCTGGCAAAAGTTTTCGAGCTTCGTACTCGTGTGGCGGCTCCTCCTGCTCGTCCCACGTATCGGTATTGCGCACGGGATAATTACGTGGGCTGGCCACGACGGCATCCCGGCGCTCAGGATCCTTGTAGCGGCGTCGGTCACGTTCCCTGTCTCCCCGGTCGCGGTCGTACTTGTCACTCGTCACCGGTCGACTCTTAGCTCGACTTTTGTCAAGACTTCCGAGCGTCTGGTCTTTCAATCTGTCCTTGTGTCGTGGAGCTTTGTCGCTCGGCAGAAGACGATCCTTGTCGCGCTCGCGATCTCTGTCGCGCTCTCGTTCCCTCTCCGATCGAGCTTTAACACTAATGGGCCGTCGATCGTCATCGCGTTTACTTGGTAAACGTGAATGACCTGAATCCCGATGCTCTTTGTCAAGAGCACGCCTGTCTCTGCTTCGACCTCGTCCAGCCAACTCCAATTTATCGATCGGAGCTCTTCTGGAATCCGGCTCCCTCGGTGCTTTGTCTCTATCCCGTTCCCGCTCACGGTCTCGATCACGATCTCTGGACCGCCCAGCGGTTACTCGATCCTGGTGGCGCGTGTCCTGGCCTCGAGGTCGCATTCGCTCGGGGCTGCGCTTCGTCTTGGAGGCGGAGCTGGACGCATATTTGGCGGGTGTGCGAGAACGTCGATCGGTGGTTCGATCGCGCGATCGCGCCTTAGATCGATCGTCACGACCTTTGCTATCTTTGACACCTCGGTCGAGGACTGTCTCCTTCCTTCCGCCGTCCAATCGATGATCGAGCGACTTTTTGGGTAACAAATCTTTACTCAGATCATCGTCAAGGCGTATTTTTTTGTGAGGTGCCCTGACGTCCTTTTCCGAATCCCTGGGTTTAGATTTAATCGGTGAATCGCTGCGCAGACGTTCTTTCGTCTTCAATGGGGCCAGCTGAGAGGCGATTGGCAACGGTGTCTTAGCTCTGCGTTTACAAAAATTTGCTTTAGTATTGTTTGAGATGGTTCTGGTCCTGCCTTCTACAATTCTTTTTCTACTTTTATTGCTATTCTTAGACAAAACTTTTGTCTGTTCGACTTTCCGTTGCTTTGATGATCCAGATAATATTTTTTTGTAAGAATGGCTTGCCAAATGTTTTAAATTTAATCTGTGAATTAATTGTTTTATTCAGTTGGATTATTTGAATGAGATTAAGGTGATCAGTATCCTGGCCCAAAATTACAATTTTTAAATCAATTTTTCTGAAACATCTTAATACTCCTTTAAAAGGCTCTATGACAAACTTTATTTTGATGTTCTTGAGGTTTCCATAGAGCTTTATCGGGAAATATTCAATTGAAGCTTCAGAAAATATGTTTGAAAATTCTAAGTTTGAGCTGGGGTATGGATCTCCTCAAGGGTAGCTCATTACCAAATGGACAAACACAATTTTTTACCCCCGATGCAGGCGAGGTTTAAATTCTCTTCAACGGAAAGTCGTGCGATTAAGACAAACAAAACTATGAACCACAAATTATGTTAGGCAATAAGACAAATGTAAATAGATACTTACTTCTTTTTCCTGTCTCTATCATCATCAAAGTCAGGTGAGGTGCTGTGTTTAGTTTTCTTGAACCTTTTTACTTTTTTATTTGAGTCTGAAGTAGAGCTAGATGATGAATCATCGCTACTAGAAGAAGTACTACTACTCGAAGAACTTGAACTGCGTGAACTGGAGGAGCTACTCATGTCTTTTTTCTTATATTTTAATTTATCTTTCCCATGTACTTCTTTATCTTTTTTCATTTGCAGCTCCAATTCTCTTTGAAGTAACTGTCTGCGCCGTTCTAAAACTTTTTCGTCTTCGTACTCCAGATCTGTTTGATTCCAATCTTCTAAATTTAAGTCCGGACTGTGAGTGGCTTTTACAATTTTGGAAGTAAGGCGTTTAAACTGATCCTCAATAAGCTAAAATAAAATGGGTGGATAGAATAGTGGTTACTCTGGGCATGTGAATAATAATGAGTTTAATTTACCAATGATGGATTTGCTGAGGCATTATCCTTTTTTACTCGCTTCGAAGGGCTGATTAGTATATGAGTGTTGGCAAATCTGAAATCATGAACAATATATTGTTAAAGCAGAGTTAATTACTTTAATTCTTGTAAAATAAAAATACTTACTTGCAGCTTTTGCCATAAGAACAGCTACCAGTAACTGCCCAATTCCTACAATAATCAGCTGGGTTTTGAGTTGATGCGGCTATGTTTACAGCCGGCTTAGTTCCCAACCTCTCAAAAACACTTGGACGCCGCGAATCAATGTTACATTTTGTTGGGTCAACCGCTATTTTCCTTATGTTTGACTTTGACATATTATCCACATCAATAAAACCAATAATAACTTGTTGCACTAAAGGCTCGATACTTCGAACTCAACTCATCCTTGACGACAAGGGACATAAGACCAGCTATTGATACACCTGGACGCCGGAATAGAAGAGTCGATTATGACTCGGGCACGTATTTATTTCAAGCACAATCAAGCACGCATGGAGTTGAAAAATCTATAATAAAAACAAACTAAGGCTGTCCACTGGCCTGAAGCTGAAGTAACCTAAGTTACTAACCGGGCCCATTACCAACTCACAGAAATTAAATTCATCATTTCTGTTGTAATAAGTTGGCAACACTGAACGTTAGATGAAACCGCAACATTCAAATCGTGACGATAATGATTTTATCGTGTAATATTAATTTCCGAGTACGAAAAAAGTATTTAGAATTTTCTTATCTTTTTTTATCTTTTTCTATATTAATTGTTTTAAACCAAGTCTTCGTAGAGATGAAATGATTATACAGCGTGAAACAAAAATGTATGAAAACTATTAAAATAAAGTATAGTTCCAAGCAGCGATAACTTTTTTAACAAAAGAAATTTTTATGAGACTCAAAAAGTAAATCATGTGAAGTAATAATTACAATGCTTTTGAATATTAAGCAACTTTTATATATTTTTTATTTTGTAACTTTAAGTATGAATTAATTTTTACCTTGAAAGGTAAGATATTTTAGCGCATTTACTTTTAGATGTAGAATCATTGTAAAATGAATTGTGTTCTCTTATAATATAAAAAAGATTTCAACGAAAATCTTTATACGTATAATAATAATGATGATTCGCTTGACTCACAGCCGGATCCCATCCAATAATTGTAAAGTTCATTCACGTCTCCTTTTGGGTTTTTCCAGCAGTTACCACTACAAAAATATGTAACAAACGTAAATGCAGCGGAGGGTGAATCGTGCGCTTACACACGTCACATGCCACTACCCAGCAGGTATATATCAAGTTGTGTTTCATCGTGCTCAATTTTATGTCTACAGTGTCAGTTACAAATTTAAAGAGCTCGAGACGTTTGAATGTATAATTTAAGATGTGCACACGGTAAGGATCATTTGCCTATCCCGCAGTGCAATCATGACATTGAATCGCTAAAACTAAAAGCGAATTATAAGTCAATCTACCGTTGAAATTTTTTCAGGTCCATCGAGGTTTGTGCACACTCTCGTAAACAGATCGTCTGTGCAAAAAGAGGAAGAGAGAAAGGGTACAGATAATCGTATGTATATATACGTTCCATCGCTATACGTCAGGCGCATAGACGTCAATGCATGCATTATGTTTTTGCGTCTGATACGTGTACCGCATATACCTATATAGCCTTAGTCAGTCAAACGCTCTCGTCGCTGAGCTTGCACGAGCATCATCAGTCCTCCTTTGACGGTCGACGATTACGGTTCGCGTGCGTTCCCCTTCTCTATTTTTCTTTCTCTTTCTCTCGCGTTCTTTTTCTCGATAATAACAATTGAGTTTAAGGATATAGCAAAGCGTCCGTTGCTGCTGCTTGTGTTGGTGTATACACACATCTACACGTTCGTGCCTACGTATTATACGTATACAATATACAGCAGCTCTCTCGTGACGCGCAGTTAGTCGATCAGCGCATAAAATACCTCTATCCACAACACAGCTCTGCTGCTACTACTGCTGACCGTACTAGAGCGACAAAGACGGACTCTGGGTTGTCTGACACACTCTGCGGGCTGTGTGAAACCAGATCGCGTACGTAATAAATCGGAGCAACGAGAGACTCTGCTGCTGCTGGTTTCCGTGCGTCTCTTTCTCTCGCTTTTTGTATATACACCTATACCTACGCGCGTACTGTGTGTATTATGAGCGCGCGCGCGTGTGTACCGTGTGCGTGAGAGACAGATTGGTCAGCGCTAAATTGTATACATACAACTGATAACAGTCCGCAGCTCTGTTGTCTGCGACCAGTGAAATTGCCTAGTGCCTGTGTATTTCGTGTGTACGGCCGTCTTTGTTATTGCGCGTCGATAGCAGCGCAAATCGTCAATTTTTCCCAAAATAACGTCGACTTTTATCTGCTAATGATCCGTCGTAAAATACAATAAAAAGCTCGCGACGTGCTTGTAGTCACCCGCTGCCGATCGCACACGACGCTCGACGACGACGACGACGACGACCATGAGCTTCTGCTGCTTCCTAGCAGACGGATAAACGAGGCCTACGTATATACACATTATATACAGCGCGTACACACAGAGAATACTTCAACAGCTATATACATACAGAGTTATAGGTATATTATATATATACCAGCCGAACGAATCTTGTTGTGTCTGTATACATATATCTGTGCAGTGTGTGTGCATCGCTCGCCTATATACTCTCTCGTTGTTGTCAGAGCCGTGCTTATATACGTTCAACTAAATAAACTCTCGAAACGAGAGTCGCGTGCTGCGCCTTATTTCTGACACTCGCCGTTGACACTGCTGTCCATCTCCGCAGCTGCAATCAGCTTTTGTATACATACTCTAGAAAAAATAAGGTGAGTTTCTTCCATGTAAGCTTTCTCTCTCTCTCTCGCTCTCTTTTACGTGCACACATACGGCGCGAATTCACACAAACACTGCTGCGACCCAAGCAAACTCCTTCGCATTCTCTCGACTCCGTTTTTGTATATTCTATTGCTATAACTATATACTTTTCGTTTTACGTGATCGCCCTCTCTATATCTCTTTTATATTCACGCGCACATCTACCTATACGTAATGTGCAAATGTATGCGTGCGAGAATATAATAGTGCGATTCTACCCAGCGCGACTTGGTCGCGCTTTCATCTTTAGCAAACTCGAGTTATCACCTGTGTACATACTTGTACAGTATACATACATACATACATTCATACATAATATTAGGGATTGTGGAGCCAAACTGGCCGATATTGCATAGCCGCAGTCATCTTCGTAAACATATATAGCACTTATATACAAAGCGAATGTACTGCGTTTTGCGCATTACGCTATTATTTTGACGTATCGATAGCAGCAAACTGCAAAGGCCTGAATATACACACGCATACATAGACTCGCTAACACACGCATTTTCACGCATACATCCATTGGTAAGCGCTGTATGCCCAATCTTCCATGATCTATTGTTAGTATTCCATACCTTTTAATTTCTCTACTTCTCTCACATGCTACTGTTATAAAAAAACCAGGTCATTTCACTTTGTTTACAAGTGCGTACACAACTATACTTTTCATGAGTGTTTTTATCCTACTGAACCATTTGAAACAATTAATCACCGTTATCGCGAGCAATTTTGCATCGCGTAATGTCACGGTCCGATTATTAATTGACATTTTTTTAATCCTTGCAGAAATCATGCCGCTTTTTGGTAAATCACAGAAAAGCCCTGCCGAAGTGGTAAAGGCTCTTAAAGAAGCAGTCAATGCTCTGGAGCGAGGTGATAAAAAAGTTGAGAAGGTATATATAATTTCAAAGCATTTGTTATTTAGAAATTTTTTCGAGAAAAATATTTTTATATCTGATATTTCTATATATTTGTTAGGCACAAGAGGATGTAAGTAAAAATTTAGTTCACATAAAAAATATGCTGTATGGAACCGCTGAATCAGAACCACAAGCTGACATAGTAGTTGCTCAATTAGCACAAGAGCTTTATAACAGCAATCTTCTGTTATTGCTGGTTCAAAATTTGAGTCGAATAGATTTTGAGGTGAGTTTTCTACAGCCTTTTCATGTCTTCAAAAAAAAATATTAATTACATAACTTATTACTTTTTAAAATTGCAGGGCAAAAAGGATGTTGCTCAAGTTTTTAATAACATTTTGCGTAGACAGATTGGTACAAGATCTCCTACTGTAGAATATATCTGTACAAAATCAGAAATTTTATTCACTTTGATGTCAGGGTAAGTCAAGAATCAACCTTAAATTTTATCCAAAATAAACCAAAATCTGACTGTCTTTATCAAATTATTTGCAGATATGAACATCAAGATATTGCATTAAACTGTGGTACAATGCTGAGAGAATGTGCTCGATATGAAGCTTTGGCAAAAATTATGATATACTCCGATGATTTCTACAATTTCTTCAGATATGTTGAAGTATCAACTTTTGACATAGCTTCTGATGCTTTTTCAACTTTCAAGGTAAAAAATTAAACCAGTCATAGAGCTTGCAATTGAATAAAATTCTAATAAGTTACCTGAACTAACAATTGTTTTCAGGAACTTCTTACTAGGCATAAAATTCTCAGTGCTGAATTCTTAGAAGTTAATTACGATAAAGTTTTCTCACATTATCAACGATTACTTAATTCAGAAAATTATGTAACTCGCCGACAAAGTTTGAAGTTACTTGGAGAACTTCTACTTGATAGACATAATTTTACAGTACGTTTATTTACATTATTTTGAAATCATAACTATGGCAAATATATATTAATCATGAAATTCATTACAGGTGATGACTAGATATATCTCTAATCCAGACAATTTGAAACTAATGATGAACATGTTAAAAGAAAAATCACGCAATATACAATTTGAAGCTTTTCATGTCTTCAAGGTAATTAATTATTTCCTTTTGTTACATATTTTAAAATGTAAAAATATTTGCTTTATAAAATTTTTCTTTCTTTTTTTGCAGGTGTTTGTAGCAAATCCTAACAAACCTAAGCCTATTCTCGACATTCTTTTGCGTAATCAAGAGAAGTTAATCGAATTTTTGACACGTTTTCACACGGACCGTTCAGAAGATGAACAGTTTAACGATGAAAAAGCTTATTTGATCAAGCAGATTAAAGAGCTTAAGGCTGTACATGAAAATTAAGTTGGAGTACTTTTTATACTGTTTTCCAGTAGTTGTATGTAAATAAAATTTACATTCACAATATATTAGTGTAACATTCAGACTTTTCAATAATAATATAAAACTTTACTATTACCTTTGATTTCTATATTGCTTTGAAAGCTGAGCAGCTGCAGAAAATAGTCTATTTTTTTTAGAACAAATTTTATTGTAAATTTTTACGCGACAAAAATAAATTAAAGCATACAAGCTTTTGCATCAATATAAGCCTATTCTGTCAGCTGTATTCGAAATAATAAAGTGCATCAACCTATAACATGATGCATAATGCTAATAAGAAAATTTTTCTGTTGTGTTATAGTTAGTTTTGAAAAAACTTTGTCATAGTTGCTATACTTTGTATTTTAAATAACCAGGTTATTATTGAGTGCAGGCGAAATGTATTATCAATAAAGCCAGAAGGCATTGGCAGCTTCATTCTAAACAAATAAAATATAATCTTAAGCATATAAAAGATGACTGTTAAGAATGTAACGCCAAAACAATAATTATTGTTTATTATATTTATTGCAATAAAAGTATTATTATAATACATAGAAATCAAACTTTCAAAACATTTTTTAATTTTTCACATAAAACCATTATGGTTATTAAAAGCGTAACAAATTTATTTCTTATTTAGTAAACAACCATTAAAAACAATACCTTAAATATCGATTGATAAATAAACAGTGCCTTAACATGTATGATAATATATAATTAAAATTTTTACAATTACAAGTTGAAAGATTTATGCGCATCAGTAGTTGAAGCTATGCTCAAAATATTTAATCTCGTTGCGAGAGCTGTTATAGCTTGAGAATTACTAGAAAATGCTCTAGGCCGTTTGTGTTTCAATCCCCAATCTGGTTTTGGACTAGGCATAGCATCGTTTTTAGCTTTAGTAGTTTGCAGTGAAGATTTTGACACTTTCTTATTGATTGAGGTATACAAAGTACTTAATAAGTATTTAGAATGAGCACAATTTTTCATTGCCTAGAATAATTAAAGTATTTATTAATCGTTTGGAACTTATAACGCAGAAGTAAAAAAAATTTAATTGAATTATTTTAAATTACCTCCAGATAATCATAGTCTTCAGTTAATACCCATATTAAAGTCGCGGTACACAAGAATAAATCATCCTTTTTATCTACGGAAATTGTTAACAGTCTAGCTAAAAGTTCTATGTGCTCTTCCTGAAAAAGAAACAACAAACGTTCATTAATATTGACGTAATCCAGAATGCTGAAAATCGTTTAATAGTTTGTTAGTTCACCTTGAGAACGTATTTTGTGGTGTGCTTGAACTTGGCTAGAGTCAAAAGAATACTAACGTCTTTCAAGCAAACATCTAGCCAAGGTAGCGATCTATTAGCTTTAGTTAATACGTCGTACAATTTATCTACCAAATTGAACTGACATACATTAATGCAGGCATTGGGTGATAAACGCGTAATGACATCTATAGGACATAAGTGTAGTGCGTTAATATTTCAAATTCGTTCAATTATTGAATGAAGAAAACAAAAGCCTTACCTAGCGATGACAAGCAAATCGATAATTGCCCGATATTAGAAGCAGTTCTAAAGATTTCAACATTCTCTTGCAATCGAAAAGCGAGCGTTGCCGATGGAACAGCAGCTTCAGCCGCCTGTTTCGATCTCTCACGCAACAAAGCCATACGTTTACAGGCAGTTTGCCGAGTCTTGTAGCCTCTCCAGAAAGCTTGAATTTTCACAGCAGCTGCCCACATCATCCTCTGCTCTTGTAGATCTTTAAAGACGACCAGCCACCAGTTCTCGATCACGCCGATCGCCCATTTTCGTTGAGCGTGCTGCAAAACGGTCCTCCACCAATTTTGGATCTTCAGCACCGCGGTGTAGGTGCGACGCACGTCTTCTCTGACTAAATAACCCGTTCGCCAGGCTCGATATCTTCTTTGCAATGTAATGGCAGCCGCTCGTTGCTGTTGATACCGATCTCTCGCCTTTCTCATTTCCAGCACGGATCGCCAGAATCGTTGGATTTTTATTGTTGCTAATCGAAGCTGCTGGTAACGCAGGGCCAACTGTTTAGCTCTGACGATTCGCTGCATTTTCGTGACGGAATCTCTCAGCTCGATGAACTTCTGTCTTGTTTGTCTTGCTTTGATAATGCATTTACGCCATTTCTCGACGAACATCACAGCCATTCTCAGCTTTTTGTATTCAACCACAGCCAGATAACGGCGCCAGTTCTTTTGAATTACAATTGCAGCTTCTCGTTGTTCTTTGAATTTACGTCGCTGACTATGCATTCTCCAAAGACTTTGTACCTTCACAATGCAGTTCCGTTGTCTCAGAAATTCGTCACGAATTTGTCTTCCATGCAGAACATGTCTTCTCCATCTTTGAATGATCGTCGCAGCACGTTTTTGATTATGGAATTTAGTTCTGGTTACGTAGCCTTTCCAATGCTTTTGTATAATTACGGCCGCGTTGCGCGCGTTTGTAAATTGTTTCCTTAATGCTTTCGTTCTCCATAATCTTTGCACTTTGACTGCCGCTTCTTTGAATTCGAGGAAGTCTGTGCGAACTTGTCTTCCAAACAGAACATTTCTTCTCCATTTTTGTATGACAATTGCAGCCTGTTTCTTACGCAAAAAGTCTTGTTGAGCGGAATGAGCTCTCCAATATTTTTGAATAACGACGGCCGATCGTTTCTGATTGAGGAATTTCCGTCTTAGTTGTTTCGTTCTCCAGGTTCGTTGCACATATTCAACGCTGGCTTTCAAAGACAAAAATTCGGCTCTTACTCGTCGACTCATCAATTGATTACATCTATATTTCTCCAAAATTTGAACGGCTTTTTTCGTTTTTTTGAATTGTTTTGAGAGAACCAATGACTTCCAGTTCTTTTGCAGAACTATTGCGGCTGATCGTAAACGTAAAAATGTTTGTCTTTCTGCTTTAGCAGCTAGAGTGGCTCGCCATTTGGCCTGTAGCAAAACTACTGCACTGATCGCCTTGGCGTACTCTCGTCTAACTTCTCTACCTTTTTGTAATGCACGCCATCTCATCTGTAGGATACGAGTCGCAGCGATTCTTCGTAATCTTTCCTCGTGTCGCTTTTTCTCGCGGAGCATCCGCCACCATGATTGAATTTTTATCGAAGATTTACGTAAACGCAAGTATTCATCTCTCGTTTTTTTCATCAATTTCTGAGATTTCCATCTTCTTTGAATAATCGTTGCTGCCCATTTTATTTTCAAGTATCGAGCTGCGTCTTTCTTGGCAAGTTTAATCGCTAACCACCAAGTCTTGATCTTTCTCATTGCTGATCGCTTTTCCAAAAACGCATTTCGTACATTTCGTGCCTCGACTGAATTACTGTACCAATTTTCGATTTTCAAAACAGCTGACTTCTGTTGTACATACGATTTTCTGGCTAACTTCATACGCAAATTTTTTTGTGACACTATAGCGGCTTTTTTGAGTGCCAGGAAATTCGAACGTTCTCGTTTAGCCATCAATGTGGCTAGCCATCGCTTTTGCAATATTATTATGCTACAACGAATCTTTTTGTAAGATTTCTTTTCCCTAGCCGATCGCCACCACGTTTGAATTTTCAAGCAGGATACTTTTTGAAGTTTTAATGCATTCACATAATCTTTGGTGCCTATATAATTTCGCCAAGCTCTTTGTATGACGCGAACGCTTTGTTTTTGTATCAAGAACTTTGATCTCTCTTCTAGAATCGTGTGCTTAATGATCCATTGTTTTTCTATTGAATTAACTGCTTTTTTGAGAGATAAAAAGTAGTTTCGATCTTTTTTCAGGACCACGCAACTTCTCCACCAAGCTTGTACAAACTTGATTGCCTCAATTTCACGAAGATACAACTTACGTTGATTTCTCATGAGAAGAGTTGCACGCCACTTTTGTTGTAGAAATATTGTTGCATGTCTTTGCCGTTGATAGTTATTAAATACTTTTTTTCCCAATTGTCGGTTTCTCCAATAAGTTTGAATTACCACCACACTTTTCTTTAGATCAACATATACTTTTCTTTGTAATTTCATTTCTTGCTTGGCTCGCCAAAGTGTCTGTAACTTGATGATCGTTAGTTTTTTCAAGCGCATATTTTGTACAAATGGTTTTGTAAATGCGATTCTTCTCCACCATCTTTGAATTTTAATTATAGAACTTCTACATTGCTGATACATTTGCTGTTGTTTTTTTACTTCCATTCTCATTCTCCAGTAAAGTTGAATTTTACATACCGCTTGAGTTTTTATCTCCAGTTGCTTGGCATATTCGAGTTTTAAAATGTGCAATTGTCGCCTGGCTAAATAACATTTCCAAGCTCTCTGGATCACAGATGCCGCGTTATGTTTTCTATTCCGCAGCATAAACCTGACACGCACATACCAAAGTTTCGATCGCCACCATCGTTGTAGAATTTTAGCAGCTTTTTCAAATCTCGGTGCTTGAAACTTGTAAATAATTTGCCAGAGAAGAGAGAGAGTTTTTTCTTTATGCCCATCGGCGATGCACTTTCCGTCTATGTCACCTGCTATAGTGTAACCAGCCTCGTTGAGTGTATTTAAAGCTATGTTAACGTTGTGGACTCGTTGTAATCGAGATATTGCAGGTACCCGACAAAGATTTGTCAGACCCCCTTTTGCGGTCATGAGCTCCATAACCCGGCACAATCGTACTCCGTCCCGCAAATCAAGACACAAATCTTTCACAGCGTAGTCAAATTCATCCAAATAACTCTGCTGGTAAGAGACGACGTAGCTGTAGTTGCGCAGGACTTTAGTTACATCACCGATTCCGCTTAGGAGTTCGCGGGAGAACGTCAGTATCACAGATCGGCTGTCTTTCATCGCAGCTTTTTTATGAAACAGGCATGGATCGTGCCCGATGAGTTTGTTTCTTTTAGCATAATCCAGAAAAAAGACGAGGAACAAAAATTTTTTCAGCATAAATTTGTTCATTAATTGTTGAAATGTATTGAGACGAATATTCGGATGTAAATTTGATGAGTGAGTTTTCACCAAAAATGGATCGGAAAAGAATCGATTGATAACAAATTTCGATAGACCAATCAAATCGTTGTTTGATTGAAGAGGAATAGTTTCTCCGTAAATTGTTTCCAAGCCAATGCGCAACCATAATGGATTGTAACTAATGAACAATTCCAATATTATTTTTTGAAGCCCTGAGAATAAATTTACGAAATTTTAAAATTATTCTTTTGTCAAATTAGAAAAATAAATTAATAAAATTACCAATATCTCGATGTAAATCTTTGTCAGATCTTATAATTAAAATTTCTTTTTCAATGCAACGAGTTGTGTTAGAAAGAACAGTAATAACATCTGGCCTGCGATACATGGAACAAGCAGCTTTTCGCAAAGAATTTAGTCGTGTATTGGTATGATAACGAGCTGAAATAGCCTCTTTTGTTTCAGCTAGAGAAACCTCTTTGGCTCTGCAAAACTGCCAAACTTTTCCGACATCGATTGGTGCGGTATCAACGTCTGTCGTCAAATGTTCTGGTGGAGTTAACAAAGCATTCAACCATTTTTTGAATTCTATTTCTTGTTTATAAATCCATTTATCGTCATAATATAAAGTACTGTGGAAAAATTTAAATACCAGTAGAATCACTAAAGTTAAAAAAGCTCCAAAGGAAATATTTTCATAGATTATTGTACCTTGTTAAAAATGGATCGTGCGTCATTGTGGCGGCAAACGGATCGGGATTACAAAACATCGTTAAAAAGTCGTTGGGATCATGTAATTTGACACTGACTTCTTTGCAACTTTTATTTTTCGCAATCTTATCTTTATTTTTCATTAAACTTGCAAGAGAGAGTTTTGAAATTTTGATGCCTGGAATACCCGGAACAGAACCATCACCTAAAACAATCATATTTTACATGTATTTTGCATAATAAGAATTATTTATTAAAAATAAAAATTCACTTTGTTTTCATTATGAATAAGATATTTTGCTAAATCTAATAGAACATTAATTTAAAAAATATACTGCAAATCATATTTACTTTTAATTGATTGATTAATTTGGAATTTTTTCTTCGCTGTCACTGGATCAATTGGAAATTTTTCTTTCATTATTTTACTTCGTTTTGTTGGTGACACTCTTCTAATTGGTGATTTCCATTGCTTTTTATACTTTGGAGGAGAAATTTCAATGCGAACTGGTTTTGGTTTTGATTCTAATGAATCATCTAGAATCATCTCTTCAGAATCACTCTCCTCTTCTTTTATACTATCCAAAGTAGAATGCATAAAATTTGTTTCTATAGGTGACTGAGAATTATCTTTAGATTTAATCCACAGATCTGCCTCCACGCAATCTTTTAATGTTCCAGAATCTAGTTGTGATTTTGAAAATTTACTGTTAATATTAAATTTAGAGTTGTCCAGATGAGATTGATTATTAATGGGCACTGATTTTAAGCCATCCAATTCATGATTATCAATATCAAATGTTTTAGCAAGACAAGTTGGTTTTAAGTAAGAAGCATTTGTATCAATGTTTTGTGGTAGATGTAATTCATAAGTACTATTTGCATCAGCTTTAGGCAAAGGACTTAAATTGAATGTTGCATTGCTTTCATTGAACCCATCAACGATATCATTATTATCAGATTTAGTTTTTTTAGTTTTTTGAATTGTAGAACAAATATTTGGTGAAAATATAATTTGATCTGCATTTCTTTTTGTAGGACTTTTGAATGGCGTAAACTTGATATTACTTAATAAGGTAGAAAAATCTGTCTTTTTTTCTTGATATTCATTGACATTAATTTCTTCTGTATCTGTAGGTTTAAACAATGAGACATCATTATGTTTATTTTGAATCTGAATGTTTTCAGGACTTATAGAATTCTGAAATTCTTCTAAATTTAAACATTTTGGAACGGTGATGTATGTTTCTTTTCTTAAGGTCATTTCCACTTTAGTTTCAACTTTAAGCGTGGATGTTTCTTCTTTATAAATCTTATTTTGTTCTTCAAATATGTCTAAAATAAAATTTAATAATCATATCTATATCTATAATAATTATTAATCATTGCATAATAATAAATTTTTATATTTACTAAAATATCATATTGCCTTACCATTTTTAGCAGTAAATGTTTCATGAAAATTTTTTGTTTCGAAGCAATCAAATTTTGATTTGACTGGTGTAAATTTGAAATCAGTTGAATCAAGAATTTTAGAAAAATTGGATGAGGTAGAAGGTAATTTTCCTTCATTATACTTTTTTGATCTAGCATTTTCAAGCATCCAGTTTGTATTAACATTGCTAGAACGATTCTCTTTGTCACCAAGACCAACAGTTATTGATGGTTCTTTCATTGCAACTTGAGGCTGACTATTTGGTTTTGGATTAAATTGTTTGTTTTTGTTTGACAGTATAGATTTGTGAGAATTAGATGTAGAGGTACAACTTGTTTTTGATCCAACTAAAGGTCTAGATTTTGTTTTTAGTGTTCCTTTAAGAACTTTTTTTGTAGGATCAGTACAATTCAATGATAAAGGAACATCATACTTTATTCGTCTACTGTCTGATAATTGTAAAATATCTCTCCATGATCCACTTTCAATGGGTTTCCAAGTTATTTCTAATAAAGCTTCACTCTCTGGATCAATAGCCCATTCTGTAGCACTTATATTAATATTCCTCTCTGGTGGAGGAAATTTAGAAATTGATACCTGAAGTAAGAGGTGAAGATTACATATTTATCTTTTCTAATTTTAACCAAATTAATAATAATATTTACATTAAGCGGTCGATTGTTTGAATTTTTCAAAGCCAGAATGCATTTCACGTCGGTATTGACTTTTGTATCCAACTTAATTTTTGTTTGAGGTTGAAATGGAGCGAGTAACAAACTATATTTATTGCTACTAGAAACAACTTTACAAACAGGTTCAGCCGCCTTTTTTTCCTTCGGGGTAACATTGATCTGAAGAATTGTCATAATTATAAATAAACAAATCAATCTGAATGGAAATTCCTACTAACAAACTTACTTGAAAAAACATGGTTGTAGGTATTCTGTGTTAGCTAAAATAACTTGAGAAGATAAATAACAATCACTTAAATTCTCATTCACGTTCTCGCTTCGAAGCGTTATTAATGCGTAAAAGTGTTTGATTCGTGGTTTAAAAGACCCACATATCTATCGTATGGATTTATTTATCCATATTCACTTGATACACACAAATGTATATCCACTTTGAACTAATACTATGATATTATGATATGTAACATGTAGGGGCAGGTATTGTTATACCGCCGCTGGAATGCAACACTATAACGGACTTAAAGTTTTGAAATTTCAAATGCTTGTCATCGCTTTGCGCAAGTCGCCGGCGATCGCAGCGACAGCTCTAGGGTCAATATTAAATATTGAGCGCCAAGTCGACGGCCGGGGCCGAAGCTCGGTTGTTCAACTCGAGCGAAACTCACCACATTGCTTGATTGTCACATGTGCGCACGGCACCCAGTAAGCCTTTTAACAAACGTCAAAAATATGGCCAAAGACAACGAAAATTTTGAAGACACCAATTTTTGGGGAAGTCTCGTACCGGTTACTACCTTCGATACGGGTAAGATTTCAATGTACTCATAATTTATGTATTTTTTATTGAAAACTTTAGCATTTGATTCTTTTATTTATGTACACACTAGGTTATAAGAAAAGTTTACGCTCTCTGATAATTTAATACGGGATCTATATTATCTAGTGTAGCTTAAACTTCAGGGTCTTTTTTAAATGACTTTTATTTATAATTTTCATGGTTAAAACTCTCCTTAAATTTACCTTTTTTAAACATTAAAATTCGAAATTAACGAATTTTGAAATTGAAAATCGGAAAAGTTTGCAAGTTTGAGAATTATTGCATCATTTTTTAGAAATTAATTTTAAAATATGTTGTCCATTAACTTTTAAGTTCAAATTGGACTCTTAATGAGATGTTTACTCATTTATTATTATTATTGTTAATATAAAAATGATTTTTATCACAGGATCGTTTAGAAATAACTCCAATCGACGGACAAATGATACTTCGACAGATCTAATTACATCGCAATCTCCGTTTTTATTGCCGTGCTTACGAATGATATGCAATTTACTTGAATCAGAACCAAAAGCCCAGGAACAATTATTTCAATGTAAATCTCTAATTATTTTTCACAACTAAATAATGAGTATTATTTATTTTCGCGGAATTCCATTTCTAAAAATGTATGATTTTTCAGATTTATTTAAAGGAAATCAAGAAATTTTAAGAAACTTTCCAGAACTATCAAGATTTTCATTGGATTTAACAAGTATTCAAGAAAAGGCATATTTTAACGCATTCCAAAATTTATTGGATACAGCTAGAAAAACTTTAAACAGAGATATTCCGAGGTAAAGCTTTGTAAAACGCAGAGTGACTACCGATACCCGGCCAGCTAAGAAGTGATGTTCTAGTATCCGTTCATTTTCTCGTCAAATTCGGACAAACAATTATATTTTTTATTCTAACATCAAAAACTTGATGATTGCCATTGACTTGAAGTGACCTGGTATTAGATCGTGACCGGGTATAAGTACACTCACCATATTTGTATATTAAATTATAACTATATTTTAATTTTAAAATAATAACATTTTGTTGATGAAAATATTCACTTCCCAGATGCATAGGAACATATCAATTAGCGCATTACGAACAACATTTTGAAGAAATAAATTTTATTGCATCAGGAGGCTTTGGAAGTGTTTACAAAGCTAAATATAAGCTAGACAATACGGAATATGCGATAAAAAAAATTAAAATTAGAAAAGACAAAATAAAATCCATTTTATTTCATCTTGATGAAGTAAAAACATTAGCAAAGCTAGAACATTGTAATATAGTACCTTATAAAACAGCATGGATAGAGCCGTTACAAACGGAATCCAGTGTTATTATTTCAGAAGAGTCATTAAATCGTAAACCAGAGATAGTAACATCAACCGGTAATTATGTTTATACTTCATTATAAAATACAATAACATGAAAATAATATCGAATCTATAGTCAACAAATTTTCATTTCAATGTGTGAATTTCGGATTTGTTTCAATATAACTATTATTTCTTAATAATTAATAATTTCAGACCTAGTTGAAAATAATCAATGAATATTTATAATTTTTTCCAGATTTGGATACTTTACCGTCTACGAGTACAAATGGTAAAGAATACAATAAAAAAAAATTAAAAATTGAATCTAAAGGAAAAAGAAATATTTATCGAACTCCAAATGAATCAGTTATAATATTCCGAGATAATGAACAATTACAAGAAATAGAAAATTATACAAATGAATATAAGCATGAAAGTTTAGACAACTCTCATTCATCAGATTCTATAGTATTTACAAACAAATCTGAATCTTCAAATTCAAATGAATCATCCACAGAAAATCATCGATTACAAGAGATCAAAAATGATGCAAGTAAATCCAGGCATGAACAATTGGAAAAATCGTATTCTTCAATTTCTATAGTATTTACGAAAAAAGAAAATCATCCTTCATATTCAACTGAATCACGCAAAGAAGATAGTCATCTACAGGAGACGAAAAGCAAATCGAATGAATCTAGTGAAGAAATTTCAGAAAGCTCTCATTCTTCAGAGTTTGTAATATCATTTCGTGAAGATGCATCAATCCAAGATAAAAAAGTAAAAGAGAAAAGAATAAATTGCAAAAAAATAACTTCTGCAGAAAATTCAAGTTCCTCAAATACATCAACTTCGGAAAGTAAAAAAACCAGTAAATTTTTTTCAAAAAAATTTCTGCTAAAAACTTCAGCCGTTGATGCAAATTCTACAGATTCTTATGAAAGTAAGACTGCTAGTTCTATTATAGATTCATCCGAAAATGTTGGTATCAATTATTTAAAAATACGTATAATGAAACCTGAATTGTATCTTGTAATTTTTTTAAAAATTTAAACAGAACACGTGGGGATATTTGTACATTCAAATGGCTTTGTGCGATACTACATTACGACAGTGGATGACTAATAGAGAGCCTCTAACAACCGATTATACATATGTAACAATCGTATCACAACTACTAGCAGGATTAGATTATATTCATTCATTAAAAATCGTGCATCACGATATCAAGGTAATTTGACTCATAAGCTCATTGAAATAGATAAATCATACATTATTTTTACAAAATAAAACTTGATTGAATTTTCATATTTAGCCGAGCAACATTTTCATATCGCAACATAACGGTGAGATAAAAGTTAAAATCGGTGATTTTGGTTTGGCTTGTACGCTAAACAAAAATAACCACAACGCCATTGGAACTCATGTATACGCTGCTCCAGAGCAATTAAGAGGAGATTGCGATCCAAAGGTAATTTATTCCTGAATCAAAGTTGCAACAATCCTGTTCGCGCTGCATATGAATGTCACTGCAGTTTTTTGCATTCACTATTTGAATACCAGACAAGGGCGCTCTTCCAGATTTTTCTTATCGTGCGTGAATTAATTATCTGAACTTTTAAAAAAATTCGTTTTTTTCAACTGGGTAATCTATTTTAATCTAATTACAAATAAGAGACCATGTTTTTTTGACGATTTTTTGCCGATTTTTAACACAATTTCTTTCTTTGTTATCAACCTCAGAAAATTTTATGTAAATCATATTATTTTGAAGTAGATTTTAATATATTTTCAGATTCTGAACTTGAAATTACAATCAGATGCTTAGAAAAAAAATTAATACCCGATTAAAAAACAACAAAAAACGTAAAAATTTGTTCTTTTTTTAATCTTGTTATTGCTGTTAACGAAAAAAAGTTACGAGTTTTGTTTCTTGTTGATGGATAAATTTTTTTTCTATGAAACCGGAATGTTTTCCGTTCGTTCATTTTTTGTTTCAGCATACCTCAATAGTTCCTTGATAAACACAAATTATAATAATACTTTATTTCAGAGTGATATTTACAGCCTCGGAGTTGTTTGTGTGGAGCTGCTCGTACCTATGTCTACTTTGATGGAGCGTATGAAAGTGTTGGAAGACTTGAGGAAAAATAAAGAATCGAAAGTTTTAGATCATGTAGATCCCCAATGCGTAAGTCACAAGATTCACGGTTTTTTCATATCCTATCTTGATTAATATTTATTATTTACAACAAATAATACATTTTGTAGCGTGATCTTATACTGAGGTTACTTCAAGATGATCCAAAAAAACGTCCATCGAGTGTCGATCTCATGAAAGAATTACATTTGAATAAGGATGCTGCATACACAAAATTGAACAGACAACAACAAATTTTGAATGACGAAAACGAGCAACTCAAAGCCGAAAATGTTCACCTTAAAGCTGAATTAGACGAACTTCAAGCCAAATTTAAGCAAATGGAAGCTGAATTGGAAGTTCTAAGGAAACATAAAAAATAAGATCGTTAACACGTCTCGTTTCATTTTAATTTCTGGTCACAATGTATTTTTATATTATAGTATGATCACATTATCTAATTCGACGAGTACTTTTGAAGTTGAAAGAAACTTCTTTACATTCAAAGAAGAAAAAGACTGAAAATAACATTAAGCATGTAGATAAATTATGATAACGTAACTTTACAGCAATTTTACAGCCCTGATGCTATTCGAATTTATAAGAATCTCCTGCGAATATGACTTTTCCATAACTCATTAATTGTTAACTGAAAAAGCGTATTGCACATCTGTTGAATAGTTGAAGATCATATTGAAAATGTATTCTTAAATGTGTATAATTTGTATAATGATAGTACAAATAAAATTTATAAATAAATGCTAGAAATTTTTCGAAAACTATAAATTTATTCAATGCTTTCTGAAACTATTAAGCCCTTTGAAGCGATAGAGATTCATTAACGGTTTCTTAATTTTTCCACAATATCTCGGGTACTACTAATTAATATTTTAATACAAAATTAAAAAAGTGATGAGAGTTTAAAATGAGTAATTTTTGGATGAAACCATGGATAATGAACAGGCCACAAATATCGGAGTGATTTAACACACGATTTTTCTATGGAAATACTATACATGAGCAAAACTTTTTACATTTACAAAATTTACAGAATTGAGGTTGTAGTTTTAAATTTAAAAAATGTTGCTTGTATCTTTTATAATTTGATCTAAAATTTGCTTGAGTTTAATACCGCCATTCACTCTCGACATCGTTGCACTTGGTACAGAACATTGTTGCAATAACGATTGTATCGATGGATACTTTTTCAAAATATAATCTGGAGGATCGTATAAAAACCCTTGTGAATTAATTTCAGCATTTAATCCTTGCGAGAGAATGTGCTGAAAATTGTACGTAATGGATCAATAATCATAAATAAAAAAATCAAGTGCGTCAAATAACTTACTTGGCATACGGCATAATAGTTGTGATCACTAATTCTGTGAGTGCAAATATCGTCTGGAGAAAATACGAAACAATCTGGGCAGTCTGAATCTATACCAATTAGGTTTGCGTATGTTGTATTCCAATCGCTCAATCGATTTAGCACTAAAAAATAGAAGTTTGTATTAGTTTTCAACAAACTACCTTTAAAAGCATTAAATAAAAAATAAAATAAAAATCTACCATCGGTTGGCGGTGTCTTATCAACGATTATGATATTTTCTAAATCTACGAAAATTGCTTCTAATTTTTCATTTATCGCAATATTGTCCGTTGCAATATCAGTTAAGTAAAAAGCGAAATTGGGATCTTTAAAGGTAAATTTATAAGCAGCATCAAGAAGACTAGATGCTATCTTTGCCCTTTTGATCCAAGATTCTTTGATAAAATTTAACAACGGATCTCCTGCATTTTCTTCGATGATTAGTCTTCCACACGCCCCATAAAATTTCGGAGTTGGCCAGTGATTATCGGCATTTAAAATCTAAAATAATATACAGCGGTGAAAAATGAAGATAGTTAATCATTTAAATTTTCAACTTTACCTGCACCATTAAAAATTCTGGATTTATCATTAATGCAGACCACACGTGTGCAAAATGCTCATGCATTTGAGTTTCCTTCGACCTCAAATGGCTCGTTTTAACATTTCGCAACAATTTGTTGACGTTCGATACTGTTGGACAAAGTCTCATTTTTTGACGCAAATCTGTCATATCGGGATTCGACAACTCCTTCATGACCATTTTGTTGAAGTCAATCGGAACTTTCGACGATTCTTTTGAATTTGTCGAACAAAATTGAGATAACGTAGGATCCGCGCATACTTGCTTATTGAAGTCTATCCACTCCGATTGATGAGCTAATTTTTTTATTACAACCTTTCGATTTCTAAAATTACCGTAGTAAACATTTTTAACCCCAAACAGATTATTGAAAATCGAATGAAAATCTGGATATTCAAGCACTACTTCGTTATTCTCGATTGCTGGACAAGCCGACGTTCCGAAGCAAAGTGGACATCTCTCTTTCTCAGTTAAACTTACAACCCTGGGATTTAAATGTTCATTCACCCAGTCGAGCGCTAAAGTTAAAGCGCACACCGCAAAAACAATGCTTGCGATTTTGGCACGCCAAGACAGCATAATTATTATTACCTATAAAGCAAATGTACATTCCAAGAAAAAAAAAACTTCGAACGATTCTAAAGCTTTTGGAACAATGCCATAGCTCAATTAAATAGTATAACTGTACACTATTTACACTATTCGTATGTTTTTATATTTTTACGAAAAGTTCGCCGGTGAGAGTGGGGTGAATAGCAGACAAAATTGGCGCGATGACGTCATATGCGTCTTTGCACATCGCGTGCAATATATATAGCCTCAGTACCACAGCAGTAGACTTGGGGCAACCACACGATTTCCCTCTCTCGTAAGTCGCGAGCAGAAGAACTTCGCATGTGACACGGTGAGCCATGCGAAATATAAGCGAAGTATTTCATCAATAAACTGCTGATAATTTTGAATTAAATTTAACAAAAAAGTAAGTCATTATTGATTGTGGCTATTTTCTAAATGCTTATGTTTTCATGAGACATTGACTTTATTGATTCCTGACAGTTATGGCATTTTTCGTAATGTTTCAAACTTGACAAAGTAAATATTTACATTTATGGTTTAGAGAGAACTCAATAATTATGTCAATAATTTATTATTTATTATGTGTCTTATTTTGTGAAAACAATATTCAATATCCTTGAATCTATTATAAAATCAGGTATTATAATGACAATCCATTACAATGAATGTTTGACCTTAATTATTAAGAGATATTTCAAAATTTTATAAATTTTTTATAATACCATGTTAGATTTTCAAAAATATTCAGAACAATTTCAAGCAAACAGTTTTTGTAATAGCTTGTTTGTTCAATATGATATATATACCACATGCTTAGCTTTATCTATTAGTAAAACTTTTTTAATCATTGCACTAGTATCAATTTACTGTTGGTAGTGATCAAGCAAAATATATCTAAAAACAGAGTGCCCTCTTGATTATTCATAAGAATATCTAACTCTTGAATTTAATAGAAAATAAACATTTAAAAAGTTATCATTTGATTATAATATTTTATAGTTTGTCATATTCTACAATAAACTGGAATGGGAGAAAGAGACATAAATGATTGGAGGCCATTTGTGTATGGAGGAATTGCATCTATTGTAGCTGAACTAGGTAGGGATTTAACTTATCTTTCAATTTTAATCTAAGTTTTTATAAGTAAATCAAAAAGGTTTTCAATTTTTCAGCTACTTTTCCACTTGATACAACCAAGACTCGCTTGCAAATACAAGGCCAAAAACATGATGCAAAATTTTCAGCTATTCGGTACAAAGGCATGACAGATGCTCTTATCAAAATTTCAAGAGAAGAAGGATTAAGAGGTTTATACGCTGGGTACTTCCATATTATTTGAATATGTCTAAAATCATTTAATTAAATAAAAACAAAAATTACATGTTGCTGAATAAAAATTTACAGAATAAGCTCAGCAACTTTAAGACAAGCCACTTATGGAACTATTAAGTTTGGAACTTATTATTCTTTAAAGCAAAAAGCTTTAGATCGTTGGGGTACAGATGAATTAGTTCTAATCAATATAGTATGCGCAGCTATAGCAGGAGCTATATCAAGTGCAATTGCTAATCCTACAGATGTTGTGAAAGTTCGTATGCAAGCTGGTATTGAAACTAACTTAACACTGTTAGGATGTTTTAAAGATGTATATAATCATGAAGGTTTTCGAGGTTTATGGAGGGTAATTTTTTTGAATTTTTAATTTATCCAAAAACTTACTGAAATTCTTAAAAATTTCATTGTGGTTTTTTATTCAGGGAGTTAGTCCTACTGCTCAGAGAGCAGCTATTATTGCGGCAGTTGAGCTGCCTATCTATGATTTTAGTAAAAAAGAGTTGACACCTTATTTTGGCAACAGTATTAGTAACCATTTCATGTGAGTAAAATTTCAAATTTCATAAAATTTGTTGAATATAATTTTTTTTGGTTATTTCATAAAAATATTTTTACTTTTTGCAGATCTAGTTTTGTTGCTAGTATGGGTAGCGCTATATCTTCTACGCCTATTGATGTTGTGAGAGTAAGTCTGGAAAATTAATTTTAATATTGTTTCTTATCAAATGTAAAAATAATTAATTTTTTCAGACGCGTATGATGAACCAAAAAAGAGTTACAAATAAAAATGGTGTTTTACCGTCTCATATCTATGCTAGCAGTATTGATTGTTTTGTAAAGGTAATTTTTGTGGAGAAAATAACAATGCAAAATTTAATAATTTGTTCTTTATTTTAGACTTTCAAGTACGAAGGTTTTTTGGCTTTGTACAAAGGATTTTTACCAACATGGTTAAGAATGGGCCCGTGGAATATTATTTTCTTCATTTGTTATGAACAACTAAAATGTTTTTAAACATTTTAGAAATAAAATGCTGTATAGATAGAAAAATTTTAAGAATTAAAAGTTTCGCGAACCTAATTTCGCGAGGGTTTACAAAAGGAAATATTCTGTGACACTTGAAAGCTGGATATTTTATCAATAATTTAAAAAAAGTGACTGCTTGAACCGTAATCAAATCAAATTTAAAATAATTTTTGCTGTGTAAAATGTCTACTTATTGAACTGTTTTGCTTGTTACTTTCAAAATTTCTATTATGAACTTCAATTTTTTACTGGTAATCACGCAATAAGTTAGTGAATTTCTGTTAATTTACTTTTAATATTTATTGTGAAACTTATTTTGTGAAAGCACTTGTTAAAGCTGTGGTTTTATAGTCAATTGTACAAACAAAATGAAAGTAAAATTTAATACTTATATTTGCAATCAGCACACAATACTTATGAAAAAAATAAATCACTGAATTATAATTTAATATATGTTGTCTCAATTGAAATAATTAGTGAGTATACCTCATTTCCAACAATAAAGAATTGAGAATGTGCTTTATAGAAATTTAAATTAAAATTCTTGCAGTAGGTTGTAAAATTCCGAAGAGGCATTAATTGAATTCATATATCCCAAAAATACATCAATTTCGTTTGATATAAATTAGTCAACACTTATAACAATTGGATATCACATTAATTTTCGTTAAAAACCGTTTTACTACGGTATAATATGATGAGTCGTATAATTACGATAAAATTAAATTTCCCACACTATAATTTTCTTATCTTGTCCACCTGTGATCACTTTTTTATTATCAAAAGTCGTAGCCACAGTAACAAGAAGACCTTTAGACAACAATACAAAATTTAATTTGAATAGTTCAGTCAACCTTTTTATATTCATAACTTACCTCGGTGACAGGCAATTTTAAAAACAAAAGCAGCACTTTGAGGATCCTACAAGCGTAAAAATCCCTCTCTATCGCCAATTAACAGATAGCTGTTGGCAATCCATGTCATGCTCAAGGGTTCTTCATCGAAAGTCGTAAAAAATATTTAAGTGCTCGTTTGTACGTCAATGACGCTCAAAGATTTATCGTTGGCACAAGTGATGATATTTTTGGATTCTGGCTCCAAAATAATAGAATTTATTTTTGATGCATGTTCTGTTAACAGAGAATACAATAAAAAAATCGGTAAATTTCGACAGGTAAATGATTTTCATTTTATTCGAAACTGTACCTTTAACGGTAAATTTTAATTTGCAAGGGTATCCTAAACTCCATAAAAAAATGTCTCCATCCTCCGTACCAGTAGCCAATAAATCTTCAACTCTGAAGTAGAAATTGAATTTGATGGTGACACGAATTAATCCCAAATGAAACATTAGCAAAAACAGTCAATATTTTACCTTGAAATGTTCATGCAAGTTACTTGAGAATCATGATGTAGTTCGCTTAAAAGGCATTCAGCAGGTTTAATTTTTTTATGCGAAGGAAGAACGTGCCAGACTTTTGTCGTACAGTCCCAAGAACCCTCTTCTCTGTAAACACCTGGATCATTTAGATTCAATGTACTAGATGTGTAATCTTGTATTACCCATGGCATTACTGGATATTGTGTCAAGTCATGAAATGTCCTATCTCCTAAGCTAGATTGTTAAATGGTTTAAATTTATAATTCACATGAAATATTATTAGTTTGTAACAAATTAAAGTGAATTGAAGTTAATCTTTAAATGAAATCAAAATTATAAGTTTTAATTTTTACACTAATTTCCTCTAATAAAAACAAGTTAAAGTATTCAAATTTATAAAAAATTGATGTTGAAAATATAATTAAATGACTCACTTTTATTTAAATATTTCAAATTATTTTTCATTTCATGTTACTGACAAGATTGATCAAATAATGACAATATTTTTATTGTCTTGTGTATATTCAAGCTTTGTGTTTCCAAAACGTTAAGAATAATGTAAGTTAATATTTCGTTTCATTTTTGAAGAATCAACACCCAAAAAAGGTCAAAAATAATATTGTTCTTTAATTGATAATTAATTTTTCATGGTAATTTTGTATTTAAAAATTTTTTACGACACATGTTTTTCTTAAAGAGCTCCGGAAAATACTTTAATTAAACATTTTAAATTCCTAATTTTCAGAAAATTCCGTAACATAATACAGAAATAAAAAAAATCATATAGAAGTGATGATCCTGGTCAAACTTAGTTATGATGTTAAATCATAAATTGAATTCTGAGTAGATAAAGATGTTATCATGCGTGTGTCCTTTTTATCCTTGCAAAGCATGGATGTCAAAAAGTAGCTACATAAAATAGTGGCAAGATGTGAACATTGAACAAAAGAAATAAAAGGTTAAGAAAATGAATGAATATTTTTTAATACATTTATTTGAGTTGTATTGAAATCATACAGTATTCAACACCAGACACAAAAAGTACTGCAAATATGTTTATCAACACATCAAACTTGGGCCTGTTGTCGCTAAGCAAATACACCACAAATCGTCATCTTGTTCGCTCTTTATAGTTATTTCATAACTAAATTTAAAAAAATCTCATGTATTTTTACAATTCATAATCACATAGCTTTTTTTGGTTCTTTTTTTTTAGCCCTAATGGATATTTTGTTTTTCGTCATTACATTTTATTATATTTTTCATTATTTTATTTTGACTGTCATTAAGACTTTGGTTTTGATCTGCCAAGCAAATATTATATAAATCTTCGTTCATCAGTGGCTCCATGATCATCTCGCAGCATTCAATTGGTAACCGGTACCATATAAGTTTCCAAAAAGATTCCAATGCCCAGCGTCGGAAAAATCGTCTTGACATTATCTCGCACAGGTGCGCAGTACATGCCTCTTTTGGTCTTCTGGGTAGTTTCGACAACTCCATAGAGTGTGAAAACGCTAAGCAGTCTGCATATGTGACCAGTTTCACGGCCTTTTCGGGTCGTAAGCGAATGAGATCGTATAGCGACAGGCTCGAATTTATCTTTACCGCTTTTGTTTTGTTCACGAACTCCTGTTCGTCACACCAATTGATTTTAACGTCTGCCGACTTGGCGAATAATCCTTGCTCAATGAACAATTTCATTATATTCATTGCGTTGCTTCGATCAACTACGTATCCTCTTTTCTCAAGGCATTCGATAACGGGCATAGCGCCAGACGTTGATATCAATTTAAACTCTTCGATGCGATGTGATTTAAAGCAATTTTTGAGATGATTCAAATGGGGAAAAACAAAGCTAGACAGTTCAGCCCCGTGATCCAAGAGTGCATTAACCACACCCGGTAAAAAATTCGCTACGGCCAATTGAAGGGGTGTCCGACCATTAATGTCTCTGGCATCAACCAGCACCAGCTGTTCTTTTTTGTTGCTGATCTCGAATAACTTATTTACTAAGTCGAAATTATCGTAGTGTGTCTTACTTATAAAATGCAAAGGAGTCCATCCGTTTTTGTTAGCCAAATTTGGATCAGATCCTTTTCTTAGCAGAAATTTAGCCACCTTCTCGTTGTTCCGGAGCAGAGCTGAATGCAACGGTGTCCAACCCCACTTGTCTTGGGCATTGACCTTTGTCTTTCCGTCGCTCCACCAATCTTCGTCTTTGCTGAACTCGAATAACATTTTTGCCAAACCAATACTGTGGTTTAACTCGCTTACAAAGTGCAGAGGAGTAAATCCATTTTTGTTGGCCAAACCCAGCTTAGCGCCTCTTCTTAAAAGATATTCGGCCACCTTGAGTCCGTTGCTTCTCAGAGCGTAGAATAGTGGTGTGTCACCCTTATAGTCCTGAGCGTCGACCTGCACCGTTTGATGTTTTTCGTCGCAGATAGTGAAGAGCATCTCCACAAAATCACTTTCATCGCAGTATCTTCTGCAAATAATGTGCAGAGGAGTTAATCCGGATGCATCGGGCAAATTTGGATCGGCGCCGTGTCTCAACAGAAACTTGATCAAGTGTTTATTGTCGAAATCCAGTGCTAAGCGCAATGGTGTCCGACCCAACTTATCCCGGGCATTAACTCGCACTGGGTGATCGATGTTGTCGCTGATCTTGAAGAACCTCTTTATCACTTCATTATAGCAGTCTTTCATGCAAATGTAATGCAAAGGTGTCAGTCCTTCTGTATCGGCTATATACGGACTCGCACCTCTTCTCATCAGAATCTTCATCAAGTTTCTGTTTCTGATCTCCAGTGCCAAGTGTAGCGGTGTTCGACCGAACTTGTCCTGGGCGTCGACTCGAACTGGCTCGTGTTTTTCATCACTGATCTCAAATACCATTTCCGCCAAGTCATCTCTATAATTATTCTTGCTAATAATATGCAGGGGTGTCAATCCATCCTTGTTGGTCATATTTGGGTCTGCACCGCGTCTCAACAGCAATTCGACCACATCATTTCTTTTACAGGTTCCAACAGCCAAGTGCAGTGGCGAATCACCTGTTTCTGCCCAAAGGTGATTGGGATCCAGGCCGAAATTTAGGAATTCCTTGACAATGTCGTAACAGCCTGACATACACGCTACATGAAAATGAGTTCTGCCCGACTCGTCGATGTAGTTAACGTCAATTCGGTCGTAGATTTTAAAAAGCTTACCGACTACGCGCCTTAACCTCAAGATGCATCCAATGTGTCTAGCAGCGTAATGCAATGGTGTAGTACGATTCAACGCTGGCTTGCCGTCTTCATCCACGAGGGGCTTGTTTTTGTAGCCGGTTCTGATCACGAATTCAATAAAACGTTCTGATCCACAAATATCTTCCCACAAACCTGTCATATATTTCGATACGACTTCCGAGATAAGCCAATCAATTTCATAGAACCGAAAAACGTCTAGAAGATTGGGAAGTTGTCCATTCCATTCGTTGAAGAGATTAATAACTCGACGCAGAAGTTCAACTCGCTGTTTTTCAATCCCCCAATTGACCTTTTTTCGTAAGCTTTTCAATTTTAACAAACTGTCTTGGTTTAGATGATCCATGATACTCACTACCCACAATCAGTCAAAACATAAAATAATTTTTACTTTCAATCACTACTGCACTTGATACGCTTCCGAGTCGTAACGTATCATTGACTACACATGCACAAAAAACACGTGCTCGCCTCGAGCAGCGTTGTCGGAAACTCGACGACTAGTACTAGCGCCACGCGCGGCAGTGCACCTAATCTCGTATGTACAACTAGACTGATTCAAAAAATCGAAGTTTTTCAAAACCTCGATTATACAATCTTAATGTTTTAAAAGTGACTGCTTAAACCGTAATCAAATCAAAATTAAAATAATTTTTTCTGTGTAAAATGTCTATTTATTGAACCGATTTGCTAGTTACTTTCAAAATTTTATATTATGAACTTCAATTTTTTACTGGTAATCACGCAATAAATTAGTGAATTTCTGTTAATTTACTCTTAATATTTATTGTGAAACTTATTTTGTGAAAGCACTTGTTAAAGCTGTGGTTTTATAGTCAATTTTACAAACAAAATGAAAGTAAAATTTAATACTTATATTTGCATTTAGCACACAATACTTATGAAAAAAATAAATCAATGAATTATAATTTAATATATGTTGTCTCAATTGAAATAATTAGTGAGTATACCTTGTTTCCAACAATAAAGAATTGAGAATGTGTTTTATAGAAATTTAAATTAAAAGTCTTGCAGTAGGTTGTAAAATTCGGAAGAGGCATTAATTGAATTCATATATCCCAAAAATACATCAATTTCGTTTGATATAAATTAGTCAACAATTATAACAATTGGATATCACATTAATTTTCGTTAAAAGCCGTTTTACCACGGTATAATATGATGAGTCGTATAATTACGATAAAATTAAATTTCCCACACTATAATTTTCTTATCTTGTCCACCTGTGATCACTTTTTTATTATCAAAAGTCGTAGCCAAAGTAACAAGAGGACCTTTAGACAACAATACAAAATTTAATTTGAATAGTTCAGTCAACCTTTTTATATTCATAACTTACCTCGGTGACAGGTAATTTTAAAAACAAAAGCAGCACTTTGAGGATCCCACAAGCGTAAAAATCCCTCTCTATCGCCAATTAACAAATAGCTGTTGGCAATCCATGTCATGCTCAAGGGTTCTTCATCGAGAGTCGTAAAAAATATTTGAGTGCTCGTTTGTACGTCAATGACGCTCAAAGATTTATCGTTGGCACAAGTGATGATATTTTTGGATTCTGGCTCCAAAATAATAGAATTTATTTTCGATGCATGTTCTGTTAACAGAGAATACAATAAAAAAATCGGTAAATTTCGACAGGTAAATGATTTTCATTTTATTCGAAACTGTACCTTTAACGGTAAATTTCAATTTGCAAGGGTATCCTAAACTCCATAAAAAAATATCTCCATCCTCCGTACCAGTAGCCAATAAATCTCCATCTCTGAAGTAGAAATTGAATTTGATGATGACATGAATTAATCCCAAATGAAACGTTAACAAAAACAGTCAATATTTTACCTTGAAATGTTCATGCAAGTTACTTGAGAATCATGATGTAGTTCGCTTAAAAGGCATTCAGCAGGTTTAATTTTTTTATGCGAAGGAAGAACGTGCCAGACTTTTGTCGTACAGTCCCAAGAACTCGACACGATCATACTATGTTTTTCGCTGTAAGCCAGACAAGATACCACGTCTTCGTGACCATAGAGGGTGTCGAAAATTTTGCCGTAATCCATGTCGTAAAATAATCTGGAAAATTTCATCGATCAGATATTTGATTAAGATCTTAAAATTGATCATTAAACTCACAATGAATTGTCCGATGTGCCTACGACAAGGACATGAGAATCGGCTGTTTTATATGATATACATGAATGCAAAGGAACTGTAGTCAATGTGACATTTCTTACGATACTTCCAGTTTTTAATGAATACATTTTCATTATGCCATCGTGTCCTACGGATATGACACATTCACCGTTTACGTCGTCTTTAATAGTTATAATTTGGCTCAAAAGTTGTTTGTGAGACTGAAATGCGATGGACTTTTTTATAGATGTAGGTATTTTATTGTCTGCAATGTGCAAAATAATTTATTAGCCAATTATTATGAAAAGTCAATGTGATTCCATGAAATGGAAAAACTTGCCATTTGAGGAAGACGTCGATGACAACAAAGTTTCACTAAGCAATAGATCACTGGGTAGTAAACGCTTTGGATGTGGCAGTTTGAAAACTTGTTTTGGTATTTGACCGAATTCCATTATTTGAACTTCTAATCCATGTCTATCGTTGATATCAGTAATGGTATCTAAATCGACCGCGCCCTCATAACACAGATGAAAAAATACTATCCAGGGACAAAAGTAGAAATATTTTGAACAATTCATTTAATAAAAATTCATCTACTTGTGTGTAATTTTTATTTTATTTTCATACCGTTATCAGCTTTTAGAGCTTCATCGCCTCTTTGTTTGTACCCAAATATTAGATCAATCCAGCCATGCAAATTTTTCGAGACATAGTCACTTTCTAAAGCATCACGTAGTTTTTTGATGAAATCAGCCGGCCCTTTAAAATTCATAAATATAGATAAAAATAGTACGTTTTTTAAAATAAAAATACAGTTTAATTATTAACATTCGCATACCTTTAGCCCACGGCGGTAATTGAACATCTGCGATTTTGGTCCCGTCATGTCGGAATCCGAAATCAATGCCGTAATTATTTATTAAAAAATCGCCTCCATTCTCAGGATCGTAAAATTCAGGAATGAGTTCTTTAAAGTCAGACATGTTGACTAGAACATTTTTCCACACATCGCTTATACTACAAATAAATTTAATTTATTAGATAATTGCATGGGTAATAGATGCATGTGTTAAAATAGTAGTATTTATAATTTATTAACAACCTGTTGAACATTCTATCTGGATGATCAAACCGACCATTTTGTAGACATAGCATATATTGTGGATATTTTCTTACAAGATAAAAAAGGACGAACCCTGGAGCGCTGTAATGTGAACCATATAGAAATTTGGGTTCTGACATTTCATTAAATCGGGCCTATAATTGAAAAATACAAATTTGAGTTTCAAATTATATTTGACTATATAAAATACAAAATTTATTCAAATATTTCATTTTTTAGTCATACTTTTAGTCTTTCTAGTCTTTCTGGTTCTAGAGCTCCAATAGGTTTGCTGAGATCTCTGTAAATACCTGAATCATTTAGATTTAATGTACTAGATGTGTAATCTTGTATTACCCATGGCATTACTGGATATTGTGTCAAGTCATGAAATGTCCTATCTCCTAAGCTAGATTGTTAAATGGTTTAAATTTATAATCCACATGAAATATTATTAGTTTGTAACAAATTAAAGTGAATTGAATTTGTGTATTTACCTATTTAAATACATCAAATAATCATAATTTGACAAGCAACCATTTTGCCATTGCATTGTCATGTGGTTTTGATAAACTGTATCTAACTTCAATACTGATTGATTGAGAATATTTTTATACAAATCATCCCTATCTTTTTGATTTTTTGTAGCAATGTAAAAATTTTTGACTTGATTATTTGATGGTTTGATCCATTCTATTTCTAACCCCTTGTGAAATAATGAGTGATACATAAATACAAATACTTTCAACATATTTAATAAGCAGTATATCTTACCACTTGACGTAAGAGGAATCTTCTCTTTGTTACACTTTTGACATCTTTTAAATTTATTTTATAAACTGGATACTAAAATGATAAACAAAAACTTTAAATGTTAAATTTTTCTTCAATTCAATGGATTTGGAAGTTGAAAATAATGAGTTCACCTGATCTATATTATTATATGGTTGAAAATAGATTCTACAAGTAGTCAACAAAATTCTTCCTGGATTAACGATTAGAGGTAATACTTTATTTGCTTGCACTTCACATACAACTTCTTCATACAAATCTTCAAGCCATGAAGTATCAAAAGAGAATCGAGATTGTCTTGAATGAACTATTGTCAAGATCTAAAAAATTTTAATTTGATTTAAACCTTTGTACAGATTAATATTAATTTATATCTTACCATAGCATTCTGTTCAGCTATTGGAAGGGTTGAAGCTCTTATTAATTGTAAAATTTGTGGAAGACAGTCATCTACCTTAGCATAATTAAAAGCAAATTTGAATTCTGTAATTTTATGTATAAATTTATGAGGAGCTAAAATATTTCCTTCTAACATTTCTACGTAGAGTTTACATTTTACTAGCAAAATATCACTTGATCTAAAACAGAAAAAAAAGTGAGTCATTTCTGAATGTAAGTAGATAAATGATAAGAGAAAAAAAATCATGCATGCCTCGTTGAGTTCTGTTCAATAATATATTTTTCAGCAGTCGTTTCCTTCAGAGGAATTTTAATCAGAGGTTTGTTCAAGTCTTTGCAAACGAAAACTAAAGACTTGGAACAAAATTTTAAACGTCCATCGGCCCATTCACTTTCGTTATTGTCCGATGATTCTATCATCTGCATTTGTACGCTATAATCTTCAAAAAATATTTCCCCTGGGTCCAATAGAAGCATCGAGAATCTGTTGCGATATCAAATTTAGAATGAGTCGTTAATTTAATTGTATGAATGATTGATTGAGTACCTTTCTTTTTCCATTTTGATCGATGCATATATGCGTTATAATAACTAGTTACGGTAAAAATTGATCAGAAATCTTATGCTAACAGTTAAGATTCTTTAGAGCAGGTTCAAACTGGAAAACAAACAATGAACTTTAATTAAATGGCCGTAAAAACTTGCTTTTATTTAGAATGCAAAACATAGTGAACTATTTACATGAGAGTTCAGTGTACTTGGTTTGATATGTGAATGTAATGATAAATTTGACGTACATAAGCGACTCACGTCGATGTGACTAACAATATTCTGCTCTGCACCGGATAGCCTGCAGAACTGGACTTACTGTGACGGTATTATAATCGGTCTCGATGCGAGATACAATCATACAACACTCAATTTCTATTAAAAAGTAATACGATCGAATTAAATATTTTTAAGTCAATCTTTTAATGAAATCAAAATTGATAAATTTTAATTTTTACACTAATTTCCTCTAATAAAAACAAGTTAAAGTATTCAAATGTATGAAAAATTGATGTTGAAAATATCATTAAATGACTCACTTTTATTTAAATATTTCGAATTATTTTCCATTTCCTGTTACCGCCAAGATTGATCGAATAATGACAATATTTTTATTGTCTTGTGTATATTCAAGCTTTGTTTACCCGAAACGTTAAGAATAATGTGTGTGAATATCTCGTTTCATATTTTAAAAATCAAATATTGTAAAAGGAGAACTTTAATTATTTAAAGAGCACGCTTTTTTCGAGTCATTAAACGTTATGATAAAACCATTTTTCTTTATTTTCCATTTAATTCTTGATTAAATGTATGGTATACATCAAGATTATATTCATTTTGTTTCAAACAAAAAAAAATTAGTTTCATTGTGTGCAATATTTAAATTCCATAAATTAAATTACAGAAAATAAAATCACATGCTCAAATTTCTTGGATTAATTCTATAGGAAAGATAATGAACAAGGATACAAATGTACTTGTAGGTCAACATATTTAATAACTTATCAAATTAACATTTTTAAGTATAAAAATTATAATTTTTGTAAATAACAATTTAAATTTTCAGTCTTTTTATGTCTTCTTGTCTAAAGTCAGTTCTTAGCAGCAAAATTTTTTTAACTTCAGCTGATGATAATCTCCATGAAATTGAATCAGTTGCACAAAATTCAGTTACATCTTCAACTTTATCAACACTTAAAATAGTTGCAATTTGTTGCAGTCTGATAAACTTATCCCTAACGGTCCATGACGTAGACGAAGTGAAATAATTTGATAATGCTCTGATTTCATTATCAAGAATGGTTCCTCCAATCTGATAACAAAATATTAATGAGATTAATTTTTTTCACAATCAAAAAATGTGAATATTAATGAAAATGTCTATTATGTTTTACCTTGTTAAAAGAAGATTTAAAAATAACTTTTTCTAAACGAATCGTAACTTCAGTGGTTAAAATTCCAATAAGTGCATTATAATTTGATTCCATTAAACTATTTTTGAACACCTGCAGAAGACCATCCAAATTCATAACTAAAGTTTGTACAAATGACTCATCAGTTTCATGTCTGAGTATCTCCTCCTGAAAAATAGAAATGAATTTACCTTTCTATACTTGCAATAATTTTTATTAATTTTTTTCAAATTTCTCAACAAACCTCATCAGCTTCATGATTAATTGTCAAAAATGAATCGACCCACGGATTGATTCTTGGTTTTATTGCACTAGAACGTAGCTGTTCTAATCCATAATCAACAACTGTACGCAATGTGAATGTCACATTTTTCATACCAGCTAGACAGCTTTCAATTTTTCCTTTTTCTTTTGTTTGCATATTAGGAAAAGCTTGCTCAATATCAATTTTCAAATTTCTACTTAAAGTTTCAACATATTCTATGCTTGTTTCTGCATTGTTTAAATATGCCTATAATTCAATATTTTAAATTAAAGTGTTTGAATTAAATATAACCCATTATCTTAGATTTGATAAAATTGAAATTCTCACCAAAAACATAAGTCTAGCTAATTCTGTATCAGATGTCTGAATGCGACCATGTTGGAAACTGGTTTGTAATGCATTATAAGCTTGAGCCAAATCTAAATATCCTGCTGGATATCCCTGACGAAGTCGACTTTTTAATTGACTGGACAATTCATTTTCAAGTAATCCACATGCCATATTTATTACAGCACAAACACCATCAATACTGCCACTAGATATTGATCTTTTTACACATTTTTTTACTATGAAAAAGGTATCATCTATCATACTTGATGTTTGCTGATCTTGATCTAAAGCATCCATCCCAATAGCCTTATTAATACTTTCTTCCATGAAATATCTTTCTAATGCTAAATAAGCCCCCAATAATTCTTGCATAGAACGAGCTAATTCTGAATTTTTCATTATTGTCTCAAAATCATTCTTTAGAGAAGCTCTGTGTTGTTCATCTGTAGTGCTTATTTCAATATCATTCTGTAGAATTACAATTTACAATATAATGAAAATTATTTATTTGTTCTGAATATGATTCAAAATTCAAAAAACTTACAAAAACTCTTCTTCTTAAAAATTTATTATATAATTCTGCTCGGGCATGCATCAAAGTCAATTCACTCAGTAAAATATCTAAATCTTTAGGTTCAAGTTTTTCAACACCTTGCTTTCTTAAATGTTCATTAATTAATTGAACTTTTCTCGAAATAGCTCTATGTTTCATAAACTCAAAAACAATTTTTTTCACTTGACTGAAAATAAAAATATCATTTAAATAAAAGTAAAAATAACTTTAAAATTTCAATTATTCAGACATTACTTATCACACTCTTTTTGCAATATTCCTGCACAAGTTAATAATCTACCAGGACCATAATAAGTTTCAATAATAGGTTGATGAACTTCTATAATTCTTGCAATTCCTTCAAATAGTAAAGTTAAAGTATCAGCATAAATTACAGATGCTCTTTTGTCTGTAATTCTAGTGTCTAAAGCTGCTTTGAGATTTTTTTGAGATGTGACTTGAAGCTAGTGAATAAATTTAAATTAGTGTATAGTACAAATAATATGTCATAAATGACCAACCCAATTTTCTTTGCTTTTTTATGAAAAATTGATAAAATAATAATTACTTTAATAGCAAGATAACTGCAAAATTTTGTTATTCCTTCATTGTACATTCCTAACAATGGGAATATTTTGAAAAATCTTTCAACAGAAGCTAAATCTTCAGCCTTCACTGCTTCATCAAATTTTTGATCAACAACCTGTCTTAGATTGTTAGCAGCTTGTTGCAAAGTAGCTAATGAACTAGTGACGCTAGAATGGTCACCTGAAACATCATCTGCAGTTTTCTCCAACAACTGTTGATCCATCAATAAAAAGCGGTGAACATGAGCTGCGCCTTGTTCGTAGTCTTCGTTTTCCAAGGCAGTAGCAACTCCTTCGCAACAAAGTTGTAAGTCAAGAATGTCATTTACTCGACTTTGACACTCACAGACTCTACTCTAAAATAATAATTTTATGTTTATGTTTATACTATTTTAATTTTATGTTTATACTATTGAATAAAACTGCTGTAAGAAAAGCAATGTGCTCTCAAACCCTTGCTAAATCCAGCTGTCGAACTTTTGCGCTGACTTTTTCAGCAAGTATATTAGTATGATGTATCATATCTCGGAACTTTTCTGTCTCAGCTTTGACAACAGCTACATTTGGCAGAACTTTACGAATGCTTTGGAGTTTCGCCTCGACGTGACAGTGACGCATTAGAATTTGATCCAATTGTTGGTTAACGATGACCTAATTGAAAATGCGAGAGAGGATTAATACCTGGTCGAGGAAAATGCAAGAAAAACATATCTTTAGAGAGTAAAGACACCTCATCTTCCTGGAGTTTGTGAAGATCATTCGTCAAATTGTCCTCGATTAGAGAGCTTTCGTTGATCGTCGGCATATCGTTGCAATAATGGATGTAGCCCAGATGAAAAGATCAACGAAAATAGTGATACAACAACGTTATCGCACTTGTGTTTTTGTTATAAGTTGAATATTTTGACAGCTGTTGCTTGTTGTCGGCTGCAGTTTCAATGCGGCATCATCACAACATATAGCATTTGCTTTCAGAACGTCATGAATCCTGACACATGATTGTAAAAGTACACGCAACCTATTGTAGATGTCACTATAATGCAAAATTAGAAAATGATGCACATTTTAAATTCAAGTTTTATCGTAATTGCCCTGGCACACTGTTGATAACGTGAAATTAATTTGTTCACTGAGTCCTTAATCATGTCCTAGGAAGCTCAATTATCTCTAATTATCTAACATATCTGACTCATGTATGTACAGTAGGGTGGTCCACTTTTTCAAAAATTTTTTTAATCTTGGGGGATCCAACGGAATCTGAAAGTTTAAGGTTTAAAATGAATTTTCCCGTAAAGTAGAGCTAAAAAAAATGATTTTAGATGGTGTCGATGGATTTTTGAAGTTTTTTTTTTGACGTAAAAAAATCGCAGCCGACAGGAGGCACTTCGATAGTTTGCCAGATTTTCTATAAAGCCATAATGGGTTTTGTGAATACATTTTCTTTTGTATTTTTTGCCGTAGAATCGAATGCCATCATTAGTTTTGGGCTATAAAAACGATTTCAGTGAAAAAATTGCGATTTTTGAATTTTTTTCTGTTGAAAAATCGAAAAATTCGTCTTTTCACGTCTGGCAAATGAACAAAAAAAATCGTAGAAGCTTTTAATCTACGGATTTAGTTAGGAAATTTCATAACGAATCGAAGCCCGTCGTCGGTTTTTGCCTACAAAATTATTTTAAGTCATAAAATTGCGATTTTCCGTAGCTATGATTACGAAAAAAATCGAAAGATGCGCCTTTTAGCGTGTTAACATACACTGAATGTAGCTGTGAGCATTTTAACATGGTTTTTAATGGGATTTTTGGCGTAGAATCGAATGGCGTTGTTACTTTTACGCTACAAATCCATTTTCAACGAGAAATCGCTCCTTTTTGAATTTTTAAACATGAAAAATGACCATTAGGCGCCAGAAAATCAACTAAATAGTCTAGTAAGTATTCAAACATGTTATTTGTCGGGATTTTTTTCGTGGTATCGAATTTTGTTGTTACTTTTACTCTTTTAATTTATTTTCAGCAACAAATTGCCTTTTTTGTAGTTTTACTAACGCAAAATATCGAAAAATGCTACTTTTGGCAACGTAAAAATTTATAAAATTATCTGATCATATTTCTTTTATAAGTAAAAGAACGTGATCCAAATAAGGCAATTTGTTGCTGAAAATAAATTAAAAGAGTAAAAGTAACAACAAAATTCGATACCACGAAAAAAATCCCGACAAATAACATGTTTGAATACTTACTAGACTATTTAGTTGATTTTCTGGCGCCTAATGGTCATTTTTCATGTTTAAAAATTCAAAAAGGAGCGATTTCTCGTTGAAAATGGATTTGTAGCGTAAAAGTAACAACGCCATTCGATTCTACGCCAAAAATCCCATTAAAAACCATGTTAAAATGCTCACAGCTACATTCAGTGTATGTTAACACGCTAAAAGGCGCATCTTTCGATTTTTTTCGTAATCATAGCTACGGAAAATCGCAATTTTATGACTTAAAATAATTTTGTAGGCAAAAACCGACGACGGGCTTCGATTCGTTATGAAATTTCCTAACTAAATCCGTAGATTAAAAGCTTCTACGATTTTTTTTGTTCATTTGCCAGACGTGAAAAGACGAATTTTTCGATTTTTCAACAGAAAAAAATTCAAAAATCGCAATTTTTTCACTGAAATCGTTTTTATAGCCCAAAACTAATGATGGCATTCGATTCTACGGCAAAAAATACAAAAGAAAATGTATTCACAAAACCCATTATGGCTTTATAGAAAATCTGGCAAACTATCGAAGTGCCTCCTGTCGGCTGCGATTTTTTTACGTCAAAAAAAAAACTTCAAAAATCCATCGACACCATCTAAAATCATTTTTTTTAGCTCTACTTTACGGGAAAATTCATTTTAAACCTTAAACTTTCAGATTCCGTTGGATCCCCCAAGATTAAAAAAATTTTTGAAAAAGTGGACCACCCTAATGTACAGCGGCTATTGCATCATGAGTTCGAATAATGCAAAAAAAATAGAAGTTCTTGGAAAAAGCACCGATCATTTTTTAAAGAAAGGACTCGAGGAATTTTTCCTGCATGCATAATCATTATTTTCATGGAGTCGACAGCGCTGCTCTTCAAAATAGTCGGTATGCTTTCTTCTTTTTTGCAGCAGAATATCGAAGATACCAACTCATATCAATATATAACGCAGAATAATGACTAAGTATCTGATCAATCAAAATCAATCTTTATTTTATGGGACTAAACATTTTTTGAAAATATTAATATTAAAAAAATGAATGAACCTCGTGAGTTGGTTGAATCGATTAAAATACGTGTTATATACCGAGTGCTGCGTATGCAGTGCACTACGCTCGCGACAGTAGCCCTGCAGGCTACATGGCTATGCAGTTTGCTATCTCTATGCTAAACCTATCGACTTGAAGACTTCAGAGTTCAGGCTCGCATACCCATCACACGCGTTAATTCATTGTAAGTGCGGTTACAATTCGAGTCCGGAATATTTACAGGAAAAGGAAGTTTATCCTGCGCGCACGAGGAACGCGCGCGAGGGAACCTCAATTATATAAATTTTTACATTCATAAGGGATAAATCATACGGCCGCCTTGGTGTGTCATCATGGTAAACGACGGTGTTGTGAACTTCGGATGCCTGGAAAAGCTTTGGGACGCTATAGAACACGCGGTTTCGGCTTGGACTCGATAAGCCCAAGATCTACTCTCTCTTTTTAACCTCCCACTCTGCACGTGTATTTATCAACAACCTCGGCAGTTGTCACATCGACGTTGCTTCATCTTTTCCATATCAACTAAGCTGAGCTACTTCGAAGTCAATTCGAGCCCTTCGATGGGCATTAAGTAAAGAATTTTTCTCACATATTCTGTTTTTCTGTTTATATAAAAAATAAAACCGACAAATAAAACAAAAAAAAATCACCCTGGTGAAACATCAATGTGATTAAAAAAAAAAATTCTGAGCCTGTTGATGGTGCACTTCTCAGTATCGCTCGTAAAGCGCTTCTCGGCATCTCCGCACAACTCGTGCTTGGAGCACTGTACTATACGTATTTGTATCATATGTATAACATCGTTAGTATGACCGAATTTTTCAACAACAGGCCGCGTGCAGGCAGCTTATGAGAGAATTTTATCATCATCACGAGTCCTTATGATACTTTGAGCTAAGTCTTGTTGTCGGCGGACGCCGCCACTGTCGCCGCTTCTGCTGCTGCTACTCACTTCTACTCTTATTGTGCTCTAGCTTGCATTGTGGTGCAGCACTGCGGTTCGTTCATGCGGACTAGGCAATCGTCGGGTCTGGCGCCAAAAGCCCAACGAAATTGTTGTTCAGGTTGCACCTACGTATTTACCTTGAGTTCGCCGTTGTCGCTGTCGCTGTTGCGGGTATCCAAGGTGCACTGCTGCTGGAGCCGCTGTCGTTGCTTCGACTTCAACATAAATATGCTCGTTGACCATTGCCCAGGTAAGATACACTGTATACTCGCTTCGTCTATACATTCAATATATAAATATATATATAATGTAGTAATGTAGTATTATGTAGTATTATACACATGTCTCGGCTCATCCTGCTCGAGACAAGAGCCCGCGATCGTCTCTTTCTGAAAATCTGTTCTTTCGTTTTTTTTTCTATCTCGTGCTTCTCTTTTAGGCTAGTTCGAGACTGCATTCGCCTCTGACAGCTCCGCACGATGGTGAGACGCCGCAAGAACGAGGCCAAGGCTGCGGCGAAGCCTCCGCCGAAGACCCTGGCTGTTCGCAAATCTACCCGTCAGAAGAAGAAGAAGCAGTCAGACGAACAGAAGACCAACGGTGACCTGCTTCTGTCCGACGTTAATAATTCCGATGACTCGAAAGATACCAACGACCAGAGCTCGCAAGAGCCAGTCAAGACCTACAATACCGTTCCTAAGAAGTCGGCCAGATTCAAGCAATCGATGGCGGAGCAAGAAAACGCTGAGCGTGGTGAATCTGTACATAGTATAGCCGTCGAGAGCGATAGCCAAGATGGCTCAAACGATAATGTTGTTTCTGAAAAAGTTGACTCTGTTGAAGAGTTGGTCTGCGACTGGAACGAGGAGGTCATAGAAGAAACTATTATTTGTGAAGAGATGGAAGTTGACGAACAAGTTTCAAGTACAACCTCTCTTAATCCAGAAAATAAACTTCTGGAACAAGTGGTAATAGTGCAAAATTCTGATTCAATGGATCAAAGTATTGAATACACTCTTGTTGAATGTGACGCAAAAGAACCCAATGTAGAAAATGTTGCTAATCCATCATTGGTTAGTAATACTAGTTTTACAAATTCTGATAGTTGTAATAAAATAGAACAAGCTCTGAGTGTTTTACATATGAATGAGCAAAACAGTTTAGAAGAATCTAAAAGTGTTCTCTCAGTGACTAATAGCGTTAATGATACTTCTGTAAATAAAATTGAAAATAGTGTAAAAGTTGCTAAAGATGCTGCCATTCAGAAGGACAATCAAACTCCGAAGAGTACAGCTAAATCTCCTAAAGGTAACATTTAATGATACTTATCTTGAAACACTAGACTTTATAATTAACAATTAAATGATAAATATGTATTTAAAAATGCATTTGAACAGAATATATGAACATTCTAGTTAACATATTTGGCTATTAAAATTGTTTCAAAACTTTTTCTTAAATCAAAATATTTTTCAAAATGAAAATAACTAAAAATTATATTTTGTTTTGCCTCAGATCCTAGAACAGCAAAAAATAAGACTTCAGTGAGTTCTAGTGATACAAAAAGTGCACTAATCAATTGTGAAGAACAATCGAGAAATAGTGATTCCATCAGTAAAATAGAATCTGACGATCTTAAAATATCCAGCAGCAGTGAAAACAGCAATGATACCCTGTCGTCTACGAGCAGCTCTAAAATTTCAGATTCAAATGTAGATAATAGAATAACTTCTAACCAACGAAGTGAAGTGGATAAAAAATCGAATTTTCGCGTTCGAAGTGGAAGCATTGATACAAGCTCTGCTTCAGAAACTAGTTCCAATAGTTCTGGTGTACGTAGAAGTAGTAGGATTAAGTCCATCGGTATGATGAAACAAAGGTGAATTTTCACTTATTGGTTTAAATTTATATTGGGGCAAAGAAAAAGTCTGGTTCCCAAAATTTTATTTGTAAAACTCAAATTATTAGCCAATTTTTTTTAAAATCTTTTTTTTAAATACAAACATAAGGTTATTAAAAAAAATGTCTAATAATTTTTCATTTAAATTTTTTACACACAAATGAAACAAATAAAAAAAAAATTTTCTTCCAGATCTCGAGGCAGAGGTATAGTCACTAAACCATCATCTGATAAAGCAAAAGTGTCTGCCCAGGTTGATAAAGATAAAATTCTATCTAATTTAAATACCATCCAAGAAAACACTTTACTTCAACCCAAAGACAATAAACCATGTGAAATTCAACCTGTTAAAGGATATACTAGCAATAAATCCACAAATGTTCAAGACCAGTCAGGTGTAACTCCAGTGGTAACTTCTTCAGCAACAAACGGCTATGATTCTGATTCTAATAAACCTGTAAAAGTGAAATCCCGCTGGCGTCTATCTAGTGAGTTAGAAATGAGTAACTCTGCATCTTGGTTATCTTCTCAACCTAGCGTAGGGTTTCTTAATACATCAAATCAACGAGCTACAAGCGATATCGTGTCAAATGTTATTAATGAATCAGTGACTAAAATTACATCTTTACCTGTAGGCTTGAAAGAAGAATTGAAAACAGAAAACCTTTTGCAAGATCTATCTAAACAAACTAGTGCTTCGAATATCTCCTGTTCAAGAAGTTCAATGATAGCTTCTATCAATGACGTTGTTAAGAATTTTACTTCATCAATTGATACCAGTAGTGTTGGATCTAAAATTTCTTTGCCCATGGTTCCAGTTAAAGCAGACAGAGAAATGGAAGAAAGATTGAGTCAGTTTGAACATTTAACTGAAAATTTGTATTTGACTGAAAGGTAAATATAAAAATTATTATAATTATACCGAAATTTATACGGATATAATTTTTAAATTAATTTTTATCTCCAGGTTCACTAATAAAGAAACAAAGAAAATGTTATGCGATTGTTTTTTAACTGAAGAAGATATAGAAAGAGGAGAACTTGGCTGTGGCGAAGATTGTCTGAATAGGCTTCTTATGATTGAGTGGTATGTATAACTATAATTTTGTTGAGGTATATTGTATGGTTTGAAACACAATTTATTGGCTTTTTAGTGGACCTCGATGTATTGTGGGAGACAGATGTACAAATAAACGATTTCAAAATTGTGAATATGCAAAATGCGAAGTATTCAGAACAGAAAAGAAAGGTTTTGGTTTGAGAGCAACGTGTGACCTCTATCCGTAAGTCCTATATTTTTTAATAGTTAATTAATAAATTGAAACTGTTTAGACTCTTAAAAACAAACTGACAAATTTTCTATGATTTAAATTGAAAAATTATTTTACAGAGGTGATTTTATCATGGAATATGTAGGAGAAGTGGTTGATCCAGTAGCTTTTCGGAAAAGAGCAAAAGAGTATTCCAAAGATAAAAATAGGCATTATTATTTTATGGCCTTAAAATCAGATCAAATAATCGATGCAACAATGAAAGGAAATATATCACGTTTTATAAATCATAGCTGTGATCCAAATGCAGAAACACAGAAGGTTTGTTTTGAAATTTTACTGACCACCTATGGTAGTATTATTATAAAGTTGAAATAACCATTATTTTAATTCTTCTAACAGTGGACTGTTGATGGAGAATTAAGAATTGGGTTTTTTAGTACAAAAGAAATAGCAATGGGAGAAGAATTAACTTTTGATTACCATTTTCAACGCTATGGGTGGGTATTATCATTCGCGAAGGAGTTTCATTATGCATACTTATGTTATTTATTTATCAATTTTAATTATTTTATAGTAAAGAGGCACAAAAATGCTTTTGTGAATCCACAAATTGTCGCGGTTGGATTGGTGATAATCCAGATGATAATAAACAAAAGTCTGACTTATTGGATGAATTTGATGATGATTCTGATGAAGAAGAAGAAGAAGTAGAAGAAGAAGAACAAGAGGAGGAAGAAGAAGAGGAAGAGAAAGAAAAAGATGAAAAAGTGAAGGTTGAACCTCAGCAAGAGAGTATCAATAAAGAAGTGCTGATTAAACCACCTAAGAAACGTGGAAGGCGAAAGAGACAACCGAGAAAGGTTTCTGAACATATGGAAGATGAAGATGTAAGTATTTCTTGTATTATAAAAAAATATATCTTTTCTTATAATCTTCAGAAATTTTTCTAAATTATTATTTTACTCAACAGTTGGAAGAGCAAATCGATAGGCTGTGTGCATGTGGACTTAAGAATCAAGCCCATACATTAACCCTGAGTCGTCTCATGGTTCGAAGCCGAGAAATTCTGCACAGAACGCGATTGCTCAAAGTAATCCAAAAAGGAGAACAACCCTGTCGACGACTCTTTCTTGATTATCACGGCTTAAGACTCATGTGGAGCTATATGATGGACGTAGCTGGCAATATCAGCGAGGAAGCCAATGAATTCCGTTTGGAGATTTTGAGAACCTTGGGTACCCTGCCAATTCCCAACAAGTCAATGTTGATAGATAGCAAAGTTCTCGCAGTCATTGAGAAGTGGTCAAAGCAATTAAATTGCATACCACCCAGTGCAGATTCTCCAGGGGACGATGAGGCCTCTACCAAGTCGGGCGCTTCTTCAAATCAGGGAGCTACTCCAATGGAAGTTGATAAAGAAGAACCAATCGTAAGTAGTACCGTTGCGGAATTGGCGAGCGATTTGTTGCTGCGATGGTCCAGCTTGAAGGAAGTATTCAGAATACCGAAAAAAGAACGAATTGAACAAATGCGAGAGCACGAGCGAGACGCTGACCGAGCTTACAAAGAAGACGAGGATAAAAATAAGACTGTGGTTGATAAATTGCAACAGCAGCGTTTAAGTCAAACCCCTGTCGACTACGGGATCGGTCGCAAGGACAAGCGAATCGTGGAAGAACGTAGCCGAGACATCGTTCAAGTTCCCCGCATGTCAAAGTTTGAACGGCGTCAATTATTTGCTCTGAAAGTAGCCAAAGAAGAAGAGGAACGTCAACGTCGCCAGCAGGAGGATTCATGGGCGCAGCATCAAGCTTATTGCATTGGGCTTGGTTTAGATCCTAATACCACTACAGCCTTCGATCCACAAACTGGTATGCCGCTTTACTATGATCCGCAAACCGGCCAGTGGCAAGCACTTCAGCCCCCTCCCCCGTATGCGCTGCCCAATGGGACGCCTAACGTACCGCCGGCAGCAGCATATGTACAACCCGAAACAATTGTACAGCCGGAACCGGAGCCGGAACCACCCACGCCGCAACCGGAACCACAGATCGAATTGCCGCCTCGCTGGGCATGGTCTCGTGATGCGCGAGGTCGAGTGTATTATTACCACAAAAAAGAGCGTATCTCGCAGTGGCTGCCTCCGCCGCCCGATCATCTTTACCGAGAGCAGGACTCGAGTGCGAGCAGTTCGGAGTCCAGCGACTCTGAGAATGATTCGTCCTCGATGGAAGAGACCGAAGAAGATCCTCCTATACCTACCCCACTCGAAACGTCGTCGATTACGGAACCGCTGAGCACGGAGATTGAAGCTATGGATGCTCTACCTGTAGTCACTGTTGCCACCGCAACGAAAAAGCGCAGGGACGGACTCGTTCAGGAACGAATCATTAGTGTGAGTACTCTTCATTATTGACTGCGTTAATTTTAACATAAATAATAATTTAACTTAATTTTACCACTATAGCCGCGTCGCGAAGAGGACCGTGTTGATCACAAAAAGTACAAGGAAATTAAAGAAAAGTTGAGACGTCAAAAGGAACGAGCAAAGCTCAAAGAGCAGCTTAAAAAGCATCGACGTAGCGGCAGCAGTGGTAGCAGCAATAAACACAAGCACGGAACTGCCAAATTCCAAGCTATTCCCGGTGAAATGTCACCCACGACGGAACGTAAAATTAAGGACAATTTCCGAGTCAATATGGCCAACGTTATGGTGCATTTCTTGAATCCTTACCGCAAAAGCGACTGCAAGCAGGGTAGGATTACAAATACGGAGGATTTCAAGCACCTTGCCCGCAAAGTAAGTATTGTACTTGCTGCCTCGATGTATAAAACTGAATACTTATTTAACCATACGTTTTCCATTTTTTTTTAGCTTACTCATTTTGTATTGGCAAAAGAACTTAAACATTGCAAGAGTGTCGATGAATTAGAATGCAATGACAGTGTTAAACATAAAGCAAAGGACTTCGTGAGAAAGTATATGAGTAAATTCGGTGAAGTGTACCAAAAGGGTACCGATGAAGAGAAGTTCGAGCATTAATCGTGATCGAGTGATTTTTTTTTACTTATTAATTGTAATTAAATATAAGAATCGATTTGATCAATTTGCTGATCACTTACTATTACGCGGTTGCAATCCAAAGTGTACATGAATAAATTTTGATGATTTACTAACCGTGGCAACAAATCACTGTAAAATACCGATCACTTTTTATGATGGATGAAATAGAGAATAACCATAGTTTATATTATTAATTGATTCACTTTTTTTAATTCCCAAAGTTTTGTACAAATTAATAAATAACTATTTACGCAGGAACTATATTGATCTATTTTTCTTCTGATCATTTGTAAACTATTGGCATGAAATTCTAGATTCATGCATTGAAAATAAATTTGTAAATTTTAAAATCTAAACTACTTGTAAACAGTGAAAAAGTATCTGTATATATAAATACTTAATATCATAAAATGCGAGTTTACAACATTTGCATCTAATAGTCTTAATTACTTCATCGATCTTCCTAATTTTTTCACCATCACCAGAATAGCAAATCTTGTCTGTAAACAATTAATCTGCTTAGATTACTATTGATCATGATTCCTTACCTTAGTCAATAATTATTTCACGTGCTTTTTTTTACTTAAATGATAATTGTGTATAAGTTATAGCAACATATGTTTATTGCTAAACTCAGTTTGATATTCAATGGCACATGATTTTTTTTTATATTTGTGCAATTATTTACTTATACTAATTTTCCAGCATACATGGAAAATGGAAATAGGAACAAATTAGATACGAAAAATCTGAAAGATTAATCGTATAATCATACGTGTACATAGTACCGTTATCATCATCACATAATGCAACTTCTGATATACTTCAATTCCATTAAAACTTTTGGGAAATGCTGTTTAATATCATTACCTCGGTCGTTACAATTAATTTGAAATTTTATTCGATTCTTATAAAAATCACTAATTGATTTGATCACATTCGGCAGTGTTTTTCAACGTATACATAAAAAATAATTTCCAGTTTAACGTGGACAAGGACACACATGATTTTTAAGATTTAATTTTCGCAAATTTTCATGAATTATATTGGTTCACTATTCTCAATATTGAGATAAAATTAATTACTCATTGTTTCATTGTAACAAAGATTTTTGTATATACATGAATTGATTTGTTTTGAATGTACCAGATCAAGCAAGACATCTTTGTACAAGTCATTTCTACAATTTCAGCTTTTTAAGGAATTCACAAGTTTTTGAGTATTCACTATGCGAGATTTCAAAGTTGCACTGCAACTTGATAGTGTTGAATTGATGAACTCCATTATTCTGTCAGAATGGTCGTCTCTAGGTATACTCGTGCAGATATCAACTTTAGTTACTTTACTCAGCACAAAATCTAATCCTTTTAGTTTTTCTGACAAAATTTGGGATATTTCGTTCCAAGTCTACAAAAAAGCAAGGATAAAAGTTTAGTATTAGAAAAAATAACTTCAAAAGAATGTTTATTAAGTGGTGTCTTTACTTCAGATTCTGCTGCTGTTGTAACTATGGTTTCAGTGCCGCCTTTCCTTTTATTTTTCTTCTTTGAAATATTGGGTTTGATTTGTGATGCTGCAGAAGTACAAATGGCACTTACAAATGCTAACGTTTCCCCACAAGTCGTAGCTCTCAAAAAGAACTTCTTATATGATGCAGGTTTTTCTTGATTTGGCAAAGGTAAAGGTTTCAAGCAAATTGATGTTCGGAGTGCCTCAATGCATTCCGCGCTTGGACAAGACGAATTAGCCAACGACTCAGCTAACTGAGCTATCAGACTAAGTTGTTGAGAATTATAAGTCTCGCGCAATCGCTCCACTGCGTCGAAAGGAACTATTACACTATTGACTTTGTCTTTCTTATCAACTTCGAATTTTTGTAAGATATTGGGAATCTTTTCATCAATCAACCTCTTTAAATCGTTAGATAATCGCAATAAAGTGTTCGAAGAATCTGCTTCATTGGCTGCACCTAGTACCCTCAAGATGAGACTTCGAGCTTGGAGTACACATATCATGCACTCTCGCGTTTCTTCTTTCATACGAAGATCTTCGTCATTTTCAGGTAATGGTTCCCAGCCTACTACCACCTTTATTAAAACGAAAATGTTTTATTAATTTCACAGATCTAGATTAAAAAAATATATATTCAACTTACGTCGACGTCACGATTGTCACGTTGCAGATCCCATCTTATAGTGTCTTCTCCAGGTTGAATATGCATACTTGCGAGAGAGTTAGTAACGGCTGTAGGATTATCACACCAACTCATTTCTAATAACATTTTGTCAACAGTACACGAAGCAAAATGTATCGATTTCTCAAGTCTTTCTCGTAATTCAACAAACTCTTGAATTTTTACATAGCTTCCATATTTGTAGGCAAATGTCAAGTAATCTGCACTCTGTTGATCAATATGGTAATAATATTATAATAATTTTATGCGATGACAGCAAAACAAGATTAAAATACAATTGACTAAATTAAAACTTAAAAAATGTTACTCACATCTTTATAATTTGCAATAAAAAACTTAGTAGCCTGATCCAAATAATATGCTGCTTGAGATAAATAACCAAGAGGTGCAAGTAATGGAACAAGCAAATATCCCAAAGAATCTAATTGGATATGTTTACAATCTAATAATGTATAAACATAATTAGCTCCCACTATTATTCCAGCTTCTAAGTAAGTTCTCATCAATAATATTTTAAGATGAAAATTGGCTGGACTAGTTGATAATCCTTTAACTAGAATGTGCATTGCTCTGCAATAAAAAAATCATAATTAAATTTTTGATTCTTGAAAAACCAAGTCAACTATAGCTGATATATATTCTTACTTGTAGAGCCAGGTAGCATCTTGTGTTTCATACCATAACTGGTGCAAAATATGTCCAGCTAAAAGTAAGTACGAATCTGCAGGACAAAAATCTGTTGGTAATCTGGTTTCAAGTGGGCATAGTTCATTTCCTTTTTCATATAAATCACAAAGGCGTTTGACAAGATTTTGTCTTTCTTCAACATTAGCCCTTGGTGGATGATGTCGTCCACATATGCGTTTTAATTGTTCAAAATGTATGTGCCTCTGCATTTGATTGATTGTAGCAGGATAGTCAGTTTCACCAACACCAATATCTAATTCAATCTGAAAATGCAGATAGTTTATAATAAGAAATTTTTTTTCCAAAATTTTATGCAGTTTGTAATGTATAACTCACATTTTCTAATAACTCTTCTTTATCTGCATCGCTAAGAAGATGCAAATATAATTTTAAATCTCCTACTATGCAACCTTTTGTACCAAATTGCTTAAAATATTGCCTCATATCATCACAGATATGAGCACAATGTTCAATTTCAAGCTTTTTCTCTGCAGTACGTTTTAATAATTCCAAACGAGCAAGTTGAGGTGCTCTGATTTTATCATCAAATGTTGTAGTGATTGTGTCATTTAAAAATTTATAGCACATTGTTGCTGTTTGGCACTCTAGACCAGCTGTTAAATAATCCTGATAATAAGCCCAATTATCTCTCTCCTTACGAATAAGCTCTTCATAAGCTCTGGCAGCTTCTGTGAAGCATTTCATTTTCAACAATAATTTACCCTTCCTTTGAGGAAGATTGGATAGACGTGAAGCTAAAGGACCAGAAAAAATTTCAAACATTTCTTCATTTTTTCCTTGCAGCTCCAATATCATCAAATATAGTTGAACTTCTTGATCACCTTCAACTTTACCCTCTTTAACAAACTTGAGAATCTATAAAATTTACAGATAAGTTACACAGATAAATTATCATAAAAAATTATGATTGATCAATTTAAAAAAAAGATGTAGTTGAATAAAACTTACCATTCTCTCAGCAAGAGAAAGTACTATATTTTTGGCAGTAGCATCATTCGCTTGAGTGGCCTGCATAACAAGACTCATGATGGCCCAATAATAATAAGCGTTCTTCGGTACAAGTTTGTACAGAGCAAGAGCAGTTTGCTGCTGTTTCTTGAAATCGCCGAGACGAATGTAAGACATGAAGAGGTGGGTAAGTAGCTCTTCATTGTGAGGGTCAGCCTTGGAAGCGGCCTCGTACACCTCGCTGATTTTGTCAGCTGCAAAAAGTAGAAAAGACGATCGATATAAAGATTTTTTGGAGACAAGAAGGCCGGTTGGATGTCACTGGACTTACGCTGCTGTATCTCGCGGTAGCAGATACTCATGGCTTGGAGCGTCGAGTCCTCGCAGGGCACTTCGGAGCGGACCTTGTCGATGATGCTCTGGCACTCGTCCTCCTTGCCAAGTCGCAGGAGAGCAAGGGCCTTGAGTACCCGAGCGCACTGATTACCCGGATGCTTCTTCAGGACCTTGTCCGCTTCCTGCAGGGCCTTTTTATTGTTCCCATTGTCAAGTCTATCTGGAACGGAGCGTGCAAAAAGAGGAGCCCGAATGAGTTACATAACCTCGTGTCGCGAAATTGTCATTTTTTGCCTCTCGTCCTGTCTGTCCGCGTGAAGCGGGGGAAGGCGAGAGCATATAAGGAGCTTTCATAACCGCAGGACAATGGGCCCCTAAGAGGAGACGGGACGGGGCCCACGGGGCTAGGAGCCTACCAGCCATAACGAGCGCGGCCGAGCGCACACACGTGTGCTGCCGCGGGGGAGGCTCTGCGCGTTTTTTTTTTGGTCGCTCATCTTTTTCTCCTTGTTTTTGCTCTCGCTCATCCGTGTGCCTTTTTTGCAATCTCGCGGGGCGTTTTGGAGAGTATGTGTGCGTGCGTGTTTCGGAGCGCGGCTGAGATACTCACCGTAGATGGGCCTGAGCCGGCGTTCGTTGACCACGTTGTCGGCGTGCGATTGCTTGTTCGAGGCCATGCTAAATGATCACTCCTATGCTTGTGCAATGTGAACCGGCACAACTTTGTATTTGTAATTGGTAATCCCGGCTGCTGCTCTTCGCGCGGCTATATCGACACTTATTATTGCACTGACGACAGCTACGTGCGACGACAGCTAAGCAGTCACTACTGCTCCTCAACAATTATATACGGAGCAGCGGTGCTGCAGTGATATTACAGAAGAAGACAGAGTAGGCGAACATCGTCCAGGGGCTAGCCTCGTTCGATGCCGCTGCTGCTGCGGCTGCGGCATTTGGCAATCTCATGAGCCTATGCTACATAAGCTCGTTTGTATATTACAAGTGTATATAGCTATATATATTATAAAACAGGCGCTGCGCGCGCGCCGCATTCTCTCTGTATGCGCGATTTTAAGTCGCAGTCGGCGGCGGCTTTCAATACACGTACAACCTATATTGCTCCGCTTTTTTTTTATTTCCATTCAATTCTTCTAGTCGACAATCGAATCGCGGTCTGCGCTCTTATAACCGGCCTTTTCGAGTGCAAGCCGCGCGCGACTGTTGCACCGAAAAATTATACGTCGTGTGTACTATATATTTATCAAGCGGTGCAGCTCGTTATAAACTCGATTCCCTCGATACAGGCCCGAGAGAGCGCAGCGACTCCCTTTTTTATACTCTTCCCTGCTCCCTTTTATACCTAATATATATATATAAATGGAATGCTCCGAAGCACCCACACGTACACATGCACGCGTGTAAGGCGCATATGTGTAAAATATATACATACATTTAGAGGCGGACATCGAGCTGCCTTAACAATGCGATTCGAGAGTTGCAGCATCCGCGAGCGACACCTTTTTTACATTTTTCAGCATACCATTACGTATTCCTCGAGGGAGCACGTATGTACATATATACACGAGAGTTTATATATAAGGCATTGTCGCGACAGAATTCGATATTCGATCAGTAGATATATACCACACATGAAAGGGGGGTCCCACTCGATGCTCCCCCATATGCATGCATCAATAGGTATGGGAATACTTATTTCCTCGATATAGATTGTGCACAGACAAGCCTTCCCTGACTTTGAATCAATAGTTTCGAATTTTCATATCGGCGTTTTTACTTTGCAAGTATTCCTTACAGTAATCGTGTTTTTTTAGTTTTATATACAGTCGTTGACGTGCGTTACATTCATTTAAAACCATTGATTCATTTTTGCAAAGTGAGCTTGAATTTTGAACTCACTCGTCAAAGCTTGCAATCAGTATTTTGCATGTAATTTATCTTTCATTTAAAATTTAAATACGTACGATTAAACAAAAGATGCCGGAAGAGACGTGAGAAAATTACGCTTTATCGCAACTTTCAAAAATCGAACTTACTGACAGTCGGTAATTACAATTATTGATACCAGAGGTCGACACCGGTCGCGATTGCCTCGCCGAATGTGTCGCCGTTGCATGAACATCGAATCACTTCAGTAGTTGCCTATCGGCACGTGTTGCATTACGAGTTCCTACTGACGGGGTTTTTTATAACTCTATTATTTTATTTAAATTGTGTTGACTGAAGTTCATCTAGACGACTTCCAAAATAAACTTATAGTTTTAATTTTCGAAAATTCTTTATAATATTCAAGGTTAGTGTAATGTGCCATTTCTTTAACAACTCTCTTACAATCAATTGAAAGTGTTTTGGTAATCAAATCCTACTTTTTGTTTATTAATTTTTAAGTGATTAATTATTTTAGAAAAATGGCTAGTAATGCAGAGACATCTGAACAAGCTCAAGCTGGTCCAATGACTGATGAGGAAGGAGAAAAAAAGCCAACATGCATTATTGTACTTGGAATGGCTGGTTCAGGAAAAACTACTTTTGTAACAAAATTAGTTTCCAGACTATATAACACTGGAAAACCTTACGTTATCAATTTAGATCCTGCTTGCAGTGAAGTGCCTTATCCTGCAAATATTGGTAAAGATCATTTGTTTAATTACATAATTGAATAAAAGGTACTATTGATTTGCTAACATATTTTCATGATTTTACAGACATTAGAGATTCTGTTAATTATAAAGAAGTTATGAAACAGTATTCATTGGGCCCAAATGGTGGAATTGTTACAGCTTTAAACTTATTTTCCACCAAATTTGATCAAGTTATTGATTTAGTTAAAAGTGCAGGGAAAGATCATGAGTATGTGGTCATAGACACACCTGGTCAAATTGAAGTTTTTACATGGTCAGCTAGTGGAACTATTATAACTGAAGCATTAGCATCTCATTTTCCAACTATTATTGTTTATGTAATGGACACTGTGAGAAGTGTCAAGCCTGTAACATTCATGTCCAACATGCTTTATGCTTGTTCTATTTTGTACAAAACAAATAAGCTACCCTTGATTGTAGTAATGAATAAGGTAAGAAATCTCAGTGAGTTATTAATGCTATTTAATTTCAAAAGTTACTCACACTTTCAATTTTATTTATTTCAGACAGACGTAGTGGATCACCAGTATGCTATTGAATGGATGCAAGATTTTGAATCTTTTGAAGAAGTTTTAGCGAATGAAACTACTTACATCAGTAACTTAACTCGCAGCATGGCGCTTGCATTAGACATATTTTATAGTCATCTCCGCTGTTGCGGTCTTTCGTCGATCGACGGAACCGGTGTGTCAGAGTTTCTAGAATTAGTTCAAGAGGCCAAAAAAGAATACTACGAGTAAGTTGAAATATTTGATGTCAATAAGATTTGATTTAAAGATACATAAATAACGTTGGATAATTTTTCAGAAAATATCGAGTTCGTTGGTTGAAAATGCGCGAAAAAAGATTAAAAGAGATACAAGAGAAGAAAGAACAACGACTGAAGAGTGCCGCCAAGGCAACTTCTGGAGTAAGAGTACCCTTGGTCACAACGGCGTGCGAGGAAAAGATCGACGATGAGAGAGAAAAATCAGAAATTTACTTGAAGCATCCGGCCAATGAATCGAGCGAGGACGAAGAAGGCGAGGAAAATCCGCCAGAGGAACTCGAGGAAAAAGAATCAAAGTCGTTCAATGAATACTTAATTAAGCACAAAATCGCTCAGGATAAACGAGGTGCCCCCGATGGGGCAGGGTCGAGCAGTCAAGACCCCTAGAATTAGAATCAATGTCTCTTTGTAAATAAAAAATAACTTTTATATTTCTAAATTTGTATTCTTTTTTTTAGAATGGTAAAAATGGCTATGATAGTCATTAAAACTCATTTTCAATTCTTTCATTTTCCTTATGTTAATTTTTGAAATTTACCATCTACCTCTCATTTCTCCGTCGTCACACCAGGGGTCGGTATGGGTACCATATTGAGTCCCCAACATTGCTATGCACGCAGCGCACTTATTTAAGCTCTATGTAGATCGTTATGACTCACTGCAGGACACGTCATACGCCGCAGAGTAGAACAAAGAAATACTTCTCGCCTCGTCGACAGCAAGTTATTCTCTCGAAAAAAGTGAAAAATATTCCTCTTTAAAAGCAATTGTTAAGTGGCGTGTTTTATTTGTGAGTGTGTTGAACCATGGCGCAAGACGACCAAGATTGTTTAACAATAGTGAAAACTATGCGGCAAAAGGTCAATTGGGAGATCGAAAAAGAGCGAGAGGACTTTGCCCGTGAGCTTTATGCTTTAATAAAAAATTGGAGTGGCCGACTTCCTAACCTACGAGATATTTTTCGAAAGGAAGAAATCGATTGGCTTCTTACGAAGTCCGTGATCGGCAGTTTTACTAATCTAGGAAAAGTGTTCATCGGGTTCGTGATTCGTACCGGCTACAAAGACGAGCCCGACGTCGATGACAGCGGCAATCCTTTGTCGCGTCGCACCACGACCGTGCATCGGGCTGTCAGACTTGGGAACTACGGCTATGTCGATGAACTTTTTAAAATATACGACAGATTTGACGTGAATTATACTGACGAGTACGACCTTACGCATTTCCACATTGCCTGCAAGTTTGGCTGTGTCGACGTCGTAAAAAAATACCTTGAGCTCGGCCAGGATCCCAATTGCCTGGAGCAGAAATCAATTCCTCCACTCTACTTTGCTCTATGTAACAACCACAAGGAGGTGACCGAATTGTTGCTCAGAAGCGGCGCAGATCCTAGTTTAACCAATGCCGAGGGATTGACTCTTTTACATATTATTTGCAAGAGTAGCAACAATTATTCCTATGAAGTGGCGAAGAAATTCTTGAAGATTAACGCCGAACTCAATCAGCTGGTGCAGGTCGACGCTCAGGACAAGTTGGGTAACACACCCTTACTCTTGGCTCTGTGCAACAACCACAAGGAGGTGGCTGAATTGTTGCTCAGAAAAGGTGCAAGTCCTAATTTAGCCAATGCCGAGGGGTTGACTCCTCTACACGTTATTTGCATGGGGTTCCAGAATGATGATAAGTTGGAGATGTTATTCGAGATCTGCGAAGAGAGAAATCAGTTGGTGCAGATAGATGCCCAGGACAACTTGGGTAACACACCCTTGCACTTGGCTCTGTGCTACGGTAAACATTGGGCGGCCGAATTGCTGCTAAGAAAAGGCGCCAACCCGAACTTGGCCGATGTGGAGGGATACACTCCTCTGCATGTTATTTGCAAGAGAGACGACTTGGACTATTACAAAAACGTTGATTTGGCGGAGCTTATTTTTTTCAAGATCAATAAGAAGAAACATCGTCTGGTGCGAGTCAATGCTCAGGACAAATTGGGTCATACACCCTTATACTTGGCTCTGGACAACGGCTACGAGAAGCTGGCCAAATTTCTGCTGAGGAAGGGTGCAAATCCAAATATAGCCAACGAGGACGGATCGACTCCTCTGCACATTATATGCAAGAAAGACAACAACGATGACCTGATGGATGCATTCTTCGAAATCAGTGACGAAAAGCATCAGCTGGTGCGGATCGATGCTCGGGACAATTTGGGCCGGACACCGCTCCAGTGGGCCGTGGCGAGATTTTTGCCCAACACCGTCGAAGTACTCTTGAATCGCGGCGCCGATTTGTCCAAATTCGCTTTCCCCACCGAGAGTCCCTACGACGTGAGGTATAAAACACAGCCTTTTAAACATAATTTTCAGTTGCGACTAGCAGCTGGCGCCATGATCGTCGTCGAGCTTCTCGAGGCTAAAGGATACAAGCTAAACCAAAGCGACGTCCTGAGGGTCATGCAATTTTTCGTCAAGTACGAATTGTTCGACAAGTCGGAGGAGCTCGAAAAATGTTGGCTTGACAACGAGGAGTTCATGAGCAAGGCGCAGAAGATGATGATAAAACGGCACTTCTCGCTCTACAAGCTGCTCGGCTTACGACCCAAAGAGGCGGCGAGACAAGTTAGTTATTGGGGCTACTTGAAGTTGGCGTACTCGGAGGTCGCCTGGAGACTTCCCGAAAAGTCTATTCAGGCTTGTAACGTGCATTTGTGCGAGAAACTATCGAGGGGTTTCTTCCGACAATGGTCACTGCATTATTTCAGGGAGATGACGCGCTATCGACTGCCGATCGAGTGCTGTGAAATAATCATCGATGAATCTTTTACGAACCAAGATTTATACAATATTTGCTTGGCGGCTGCAATGTAAAGCTCGTAAAGACAATAATCATATTTTCATACTATTTTTCATGTCTGGTATTATTTCTGTGGTGGAAAGGGCTAACGAGATAACTCCATTTTTTTTGAAATCGAGTTTATGACATGAATTACCTATATGTTATGTCTACTTTAAGGTACAAGTGTCACAAAAGCTGAAAAGAGCACCTATCGTTCAATATAACACCGTGCCTAACGAAATAAGTCCATTTCGCAGCAAACGATTCCCGGCCAAACGAGATAAGTCCACCTTTGCGAGCTCCAAAATGCGATAAAGAGTCTAGATTGATTTGAAAATGGAAGAAAATGATATTCCAACATACAAATGGCTCTCACACTCTTCGAATGTTGTGAATTTCACTATACGATTGGTACATTTGATACGCGAGGGGCCATTTTCGCGATTTTCAGTGTGGTCTTTTTTCGTTGCAAGATTTGAGATCTGACACCAGTATAACGTTAAATGAGCTATTTTATCAATGAAAAATCATTACATGAGGTTTTGATCACAAACTAAGCGAAATTATCGATATTGAAAAAAGTGTGACCGCTAAAAGTGGACTTATCTGCTAAGCGGGGAAAGGGCTAACGAGTCAAGTCCATATTTTTTGCTCCGTATCATCACTATGATGCGTCTTTCAATTTCACAAGTACATAGTTCAAAAGATACCTCATAATAGGTAAAAATATCATAGGTACAGATCTTTAGTCGTCTGCGTCTAGCTAGGCCTTCGTGCGCTACTTAAAACGCGTTTTTCTCGAAAACACGAAAAATGGAGTTATCTCGTTAGGCCTTTCCACCACAGATTTAATGTTGCAGACTTTCCATATATCATTTGAATAAATTAATTTAAAAAAAAATTGACTTGATTGCTTCTCTGTGTTTTAATTTTATAAAATACATCATACGCTTCTTCAAATCAATTACGCATGAAATCAATTAAAAAAATGTCGAGTTTAATCAATGTTTGATCAAACACATCAATAAATACCCGTGGCAATCAAAAATGAAAACTTCCTCGTGAAAAAAGTAGCAAAGAAAGTGTGTGAGAGCGAGCGCAGCGTATCGCAAGCTCGGATCTGTAATCGGCATCGATCGGCTCTTGCAGGTGGCGATATCTCGAATCATCGGTGAAAATTGACCGCTACATAATAATCGGAGCGCGCGCGCGGGGGCGTCGATCGTTGCGCAAGTGAAGTCATAACAACGCAACGAATGTGCAGCGGCTAATCGGAAAAGTTAATCGAGCTCGAAATTTTTGAGAGAGAGAGAGAGAGAGCAATCAGAAAGAAAGAATCCAACGATCAAGCGCGGATGCATTAAAGGTCCTCCGCGAGCGGCCAGATCGCGAGTAAACGATACGAAGCTGTATACGGGATCGCGATAAAGTTAGATGCAGCGCACGCAACAGGTAGAGTATCGAGCGATCGGAAATCTTCGAGAACGACCCGAGAGGAGATCAGCTTGCTACATAAAATGTCTATAGGTGGTCCAGCGCTCCGTATACGTAGCCGCGCACGAAAGAGGCTGCATCTCGGGGGCCTGTATACACGCCACGCGGAAAGGAGACTACTATACGGAAAGGACTGGCTGCACCGCACAGCTGCTGGGCTGCTGCAGCTCTCTTCTCTCGCGCGCGGCACGCGACTCGTGGGCCAGCAGCAGCAGCAGCATAAACACGCGGCTCGGGCCCCGAACGAGTCAGCAGCGATCGTACACATAGGCGACTGGGCCCGTGTGCCGCGCGAATCAGTCTCGCAATGAGCGGCGGCCCGGCGACACGCTCCTTCGCTTTATCTATACGTGTATACGTTCGTGCATACGTACGCTGTTCTTCGGCGCCGTCGGTAATCGCTCGCGTTCCTACGTAATTGAAAAGAAGATGCACGTGGCTGTACGCAGCGACGCGAAAATATAACGCGAGTGCGAGTATACCGATCGCGTGCAAGAGCCGACTTTTTTCGCTCGCAATTTTTGGTAACGCGATACACGCGAGTCGCCGAGTGAGGAGCTTTTCGCACGAGTCGACGAGGATCGGCGGCGCAATCATGGTCCCCGCATCGTCCTTATTATTTTTGCCATTGTTATGGAGCTGGTGAGGCTGTCGGCGGCGGCTCGGGGGCCCGATCTCGGCGGCTTCCTGCGCGAGCTGCTCGTGACGCAGCGCTTCGCCGATGTCGCGCTCTGCTGTCCCGGCGGCCAGAAGTTCCTCGCCCATCGCCTCGTGCTCTCGGCCTCGAGCAACTATTTGCAGGTCAGTATACGCACGGCACAAACATCGCAATCGTCACATACACACACACAAAGACGCCAAACGAAAAAATGAATACTGTGTATTTTATTATGAAATCGTCACTGGTCCCTTTGTCGATCTCACGCGCTGCAGGTATAAAGTCGAGCGGGCGATTACCGCTAGACGCGCATCGCACAGATATGTAAATATGAGCTACCTGTGCCTTTTATATATATAAGATAAAGTGTATACATACAGTGTATCCGCGTGCGCATTCGTCGACGATGATATCAAAGTGAATACGGATGCGAGAAGACAGAGAGACAGCTGGACGGACGGATGGACGGACGGGCGGACGGACGAGCGAATGAATCACAGCGAGCGCGGCTCGTGCGGGAGAATCGATCGAGATCGGTTGAAGATTGCGGGGCCGCGATCACACACACACACACACACATCTACCCACATACACACAGAGAAGAGTTAGCGTGCGGCTGCTGCTCCTCGTCGGTAATTGCCGAGTCATAGTCCGCGATCGATCGATCGATTCTCGATCTGCGCAAATGCTTCGGCACACAGGATATGTCTGCAGGGATACGTCCTATAAATATATACGTGTATACGCTATACATGGGATTATATTATTCGGTCTCGGCCGATGCAGGCGCTCTTTTAACTGTCTCGCCGGGCCGCCGCTTCACTACACATATTATATACATCTAATGTATAATGTATAATTGAGCCGGAGCTAGAGCTGCTGCTGCTGCTGCCTCGTCGCGCTAAAACCTGGCCGTCACGCATGTATATGTATTAGACCGTGCGCGCCTTGCGTTCGCGAGTCGAATTGCAGCCCTGGAGGTTTTTCTCAAGAAAATTAAATTCCGCGCTGCGCAGCTGTAATCTCTCGCTATGCACGTTGCGTACGAATACTGTGGCAGCGCAGATATCGCGCGCGCGCGTTAATGTAGGTTTACGCGAAATCGTGACCTTTGATGTATGCATCGTATGTATGTACTTGGACGTATAAAATATGATTTATCCTCGCGTCCTGGCCGGCTGTATACGTCTGTACAACGGCTATCCATAAGCGCGTATCTATACTGCTATATCGATACGCTGAAGCCGCGCGGCGATTTATTCTCCTGTATATTCCTATACACGCGGGAAAGAGAAACGCAGACTGCACCGAGCTCTGCGGCCTCTGCAAAACGCGGATAATAATATAACCTAGCGTGGATTGAGCTGCTGCTGATGCTGCTGCTGCTGGCCACGTTGCGCGCACTGCATCGATTGCTAATTTCTTTTTTATTCGATTCTTGCGTGAGTGGAGCTCGTCTCGAAAAGCTGCGCGTACAATGTGCATAATGCAGCGGTCGAGAAGACGATCGTTTTTTTTTTCTTTGTGAGCAGATAAGTGTTATGGATCACGATCGCGACAGCATATCTCGTCGACGCCGCAGTCCATACACATAGTGAAAAAAGACCTTCGTTCCTCCTCTGCGCGGCCTTATTATATAAGCTCGCGGAGATGAGTATTTACCGCGAACTTGTGATGGATATGGCCGAATTCGGCACGATCGCACGAGAGATCGGCTCGCACGAGGAAAAAACGCGTATTACGTGTACTTGGCAACGTGTATACAATTAGAGATCGAAACTTTTTGTCACTTTTTCACGAACGCGAATCGTCACGATCGTTCCCGTAAATATATGCGAGTGCACACAAACGTATAACGCGATTACGACGCTGGTGGTGTAAATAGGCAGAAAACGCTTAACACTTGGAGTTTTACGTGTACCGCGCATATGCAGCATATATAATAATACAGTACGTTAATTGCAATTAGGTATTATAAAGCATTGGACGCGGTATGAAATTCAGGTAAATTCGACTTCACGACGATTACTCTCTCTCTCTCTCTCTCTCTCTCCTGGCCTGAGCGAGCCGTCGATACGCGATATATACATGCAATTCACGATAATTACGATCGCTGCGCGTATTTCTCACCTCTAATTAGGTGCCAAGGGATCAGAGTACACGTCGAGTATTGCGGCTGATTTTTTTCTCTCTCCCACCATCGATTCGCTCGCTCGAAATGCCAATGCATAATAGGTTCGAAACGCAGTGCAATAGCGAGCAGCAGACACTTTGATATCGCATGTAAATGTGCGCCCCGTGTGCGGGTATACGCGAGCAGCAGCAGCAGCAGCAGCAGTCGATCGATCGTTATCATGTATCGAATATGTGCGGCAGCAACGTATCTAGCTAAGGCGCGTGGTAGCTCGTTTGGCAATATATGCTCGCTCACGCGGGCGTCGATTATTGAGAGCTACCGCTTTTTACCTATATGTATTAACGAGGCGATCTTTCGCAGCTATTAAATTGCTCCGTGGCCCCCGTGTGAAATACACCTACAACTATATACAGGCTCTTAATGTAATATCGGCACTACGCGCTACCGTCGATATAAGCCCATTGCGAAATCGACCCGTGTCTCTCTCTCTCTCACTCATTGGCGGATACATTGAACACGCGCGTATTATATACGCCGCAGTGCTCGCGCATTTATCCACGGTATACAGCACCAAACACACACACACAGTCGTTATAATAGCTCGCGGGTTGGAAAAAGAAAATTCCTCGGCGCGAGCCGAGCCCTGCTATATACCGCGAGCATGGCGCGACGTCGCGCGTACGTACCTACTTTTATTTGACGCTCGAACTCGATCGTGATAGATCGCAATTTTGCCACCCCCGCGGATAGATTTATAATGGGCGCCGCGGAATTCGCGACTCTATCTACGCCGAGCGCGCGACGTCGACAGTTTTTGATGTATAGCGCGCCGATCGCGACCGATTCTGTCCTGCCTACATGCGCGGCTATCTACAGCGAATATATAGATCGGCTTACACGTTAAAATACATGTACGTGAAATCGTTGATGAACAATTGAGGAAAAAAATGGTCCCTCTGCGCGTAGCCCTGTTACCGCTGATAATTGAGAAATACATATCGCGAAATTCTAATGCCGATCGTCGTACGGTGCAGATTAACGCGCAGCGAGCTCACGTCAGACGATACATAGACGTATTATATGGAAAAGCTGGACGAGCTCCCGAGTGCGACACGCGCACGTGAGCGTGGATGATGGGCAATTAATCAGTGGCTAAAAGTGCCGGCCACGTCTCTACGTGTAATGCAGTTGCAGCCGATCTGCTGTGGCTGCCACCGATGCTGCCTGATCGGTATATGTGTACGCTACACGAGCGCGCATTTATACGCGAGGCTAGAAAAACGCGGACATGGATCGTCGTCGCGGCGATTGAATTATTGCTCCAGACAAATGGCCGAGCTGCACTGCGTATAATACACGTTTCAATGAAGGACGGAACGAGCGCGGTGTGTATGCGCGTGTCTGCGTATATACAGGTACACGATCAGATGCTGCTGCGGATCGCACACGAGTCGAGCAAACAAACACACACGGGTGAAAGGAGAAAAAAAAACGCGTGCGTGCGAGCGAGCGAGCGACGACGTCTATTCGCGATCGTGGCTCAAATAAGGTAGGCGCGCGCGATCGAGGCAAAAAGCTCGGCGGCGCACGAGTGCGTGCCTGGCGTACTGCTACCGAGCATGCCCACCCATGCGCTCTACTCCTCGTGCATGTCTATGTATAAAATAACACGAGAGCGGCCGATGTCGCATGTTCGTGATCTCTTCTCGCTCGCTTCGGATTCTGCAATCTGGGCACGATGATCTCTCCGCGACCTCGCGCGCGCGCGCCTACCTGCACTTGTTTACGTCGAGCAGCAGCAGAAACGACTCGACGCGTCGCCACGTCGTCGCGTCATCTCGTTTCGTGCGAAAATTTTCCGCGCGATCTCGAAAAGCTCGCTCGAGCATCTGTGTATATATGTGTAATGCTCAATGTACGTGATGTACATGCTCGGCTTTCCATTTAATTTTCACAATGGTCCATTTGTATATGTATAATGTATTTAGACGTTCGCGTTATTACGATACTGCCTGTAGCAGGCAGTAGAGAGTGTGAGACAATGAGCGATGCATCACGATCGTCGCGCGCGACCCAACGCATACGCATACATTTATGCAGCAGCTACCATTCCATCTTTACGCTCTCGCGTGCCTTAAAGTATATACGCGCCATATTTCGCGACTAATGTGGATTATTCATCAAATGGCTGTTTCTGCTGCTGCTGCTCCCATTATCGAACCGGTTCATCGCGCCGATCAATCCCAACCGAGCCCTCAGGCTGTGTATATATAACATTCGTAAGCGCCTGCACACATCCTTACAGATGCATCGGTTCGATCCTTCTTGCATTGTGTTTTCCTATATGTATGAGCACAGTACCTATAGGCACGATCTCGATCGTTAATTCAATGTCTGCGATGCGTAATCCACACCCCTTTTGCCGTATACTTGCACATAAAAGCGAACGTTTCCATAAGTACATAAAACTGCACGCGACATAGACTGCAACTACCGATCTCTATCTCCACGAATAGGCTGATTATTACAATCGTATACGATGACGAGTAAAGTGTACGTACGAAAATTAGCCATCTCGTCTAGAGAAACCGCTATTCCGCGTGCATATCATGTTATTATGAGGCTGATTCAATGTGAAATGGAATGAGACACCTTTTTTCTACTCGCGTAAAAATCTTTTTGTTTGTTTTACTTGTTACAGAATAGCCACAAATATTATTAAAATTTTAAAAGCTTCAAATTTTTGAAAATTGTGTTAAATCGATTTTGACATAGTTTAGACCTGCTCAATGCATCATTCGTGAGGCTAAAACGCACTCCTTCAAAAAGTAACAATTCCAATTGTGACTTTATCAAAATGATAGCTAGGCGTCTCTTGTTGAAAAACTGACCCATCAATGTTTGGAGAAAGATTTATTTACTCAAAAAAGAGCTGTTTTTAATCAACTTAGAAGCAAAATAAGTTATTTCTATATCGACTACTAATATTATTATACTTGGAATGTGCCCGATTACTAGTTCAAGATCAAGATCTAGTATTATACCGAATGAGTTTTATGTAAATGAAATTTTAAGAGATCTCTCGGACAAAAATTGTTGAACATAAAGCATCCAATTATTAGAAACCGATTTTAAAAGGAAACAAAACTTCAAAAGTAAATTCAGCTACTTCGTGCCCTGACTCGGTAATAATGATATTTTAAAGAACTTTTTTGATGGAGGTTTTTTTGAAAATAACTCGTTTTTTTACAATAAAAAATACTAATTCGAGATTTAGTATAAAAATTTTACATGAGTATGGTAAATTAACAATTAAATGGTTTTAAGTTTATTTTAAGTGTATGTATCAAATTTGTATAAATTAAAGCATAAGAAATCACATTTTTCAATGCAGTGGTGGCATTTCGTAAGTATCAATTTGCTATAGCTAGAGACTCTCAATAGGCACGTCGATCGTGGCATCCACATTTGCAGCCGTCTCGATATTTTCTCAAGTTTTCGGTTCAACCGCTAGATGGCCATGAATCTTTGAGAGTTGCTCCCATATGAAAGTTGTGCTCGTCAAGGCATAAAAGAAATTAGTCAAGTTTTGTTGATCCGTCTTATCAAAATCAATCGCGTCGCTACTCATAGAGACATCGTTATGATGAGACGGCTGATGATCAACGACACCATCAGATGGTCGAGGAATATATACGTGGAGCACGTGTCTGGGGCTCGGCAGTATTAGAGTCACGCGCGGGTATATTTTCGTTTTTTCTTTGTTGTATGTAGAATCATTGCCCTGCCTGGCCCCGACACTGGCGTGGAAAATGTAGCCGGGTTCTCCACACCCAATATGTATATATCTATGTCTAAAATCTATATGTCAACATTCTATGTACCATACGCTGTAAAATAAAAAATGAAAACGACGAAAACTTTGTTAGATTAGTTTTAGTATTGGGGTCTAGCTGTGTGCCTCGAAAGGCAGGGGTACGTGAGAGGAACACACCCCAAGCATATTTTATTCCCAAACGAGCCAAACTTTCTTATGAGAGCAACTCTCCAATGTCCTTGGCCATCTAACGGTTGATCTAAAAACTTGAGAAAATATGGAAATGTCTGCAGATGTGGATGACACGATCGACGTGCCTATTGAGAGTCGTAGCTTTAACAGATTAACACTTACGAAATACCACTACGGCATAGGAAAATGTTTTTTCTTAAACTCAAATTTTGTATAGAAATGTTAGAAACATTTCTTATCATTCAACTTTTAATCTACGAGAATTTTAATCTCAATGATGAACGACTTACGGAAAAAATGCAATGAAAAAAATCTTAAAATAATATAATTCGAATAAGAAGAATGCAGCGAAGCTTGTTCCTCAATGCTCCAAGCGTCGCGCGCGACCGGATTCGCAAAAATATCTTTATTCGGTCAGATATAAAGATAGAATAGGTAGTACGTATGTAAAAGTGGACAGGTAAAGGATTGCACCGGCTCTTGGAAGTATTGAATTTGCTGATCGAGTGTGAGCTTAGTCGCGACTTAATTAATTACGGCATAATTCATCATCAGCTGCTGCCGCTGCTACTACAGTCGAGAGAGAAAGAGAGTCAGATCGTTTATCGCAGCTCTTATATACGCTTTTCATCTGCGAGTGTGTACGTACTATATATCGCTCGCTCGCTCGCTCGAGCTCCAATAGATTACGCACTGCGCTCACGTGCATTAGTCCGCGTACACATACTTAGAGCTTAAGCTCTCGAGAGTCGCGCGGCCTGGTCGAATCGATTATTCTTGTTATATTACGCTGCGATCGTAATTCAGCTTATATGTGTACAGCTCTCGACTTTAGTGCCCGCGCGGTATAATGTGTGTGCATAATATATACGTATAACGACGTCGCGATCTCGCGGCTAGCTCCATTCTCGAGAGAGGATAGATTATAGGCCGATTGTTGTCCTAGCTCGGGCGCGCACGCGTTGACCGAGAGAAAAGAGAGCCATAAATTTCAAACGGAATAACCCATATACTATGTATCGCATTGATACGTATGCATTGCAGCGTGTCAGATCGGCAAGAAAGTCGCGATCGGCGCCGCGCGACTTTTCGATTATTCTGCCTCGCCAGCAGACTCGGTGTTTCGCGAGAAATCGGCTGTGCGCAAGTATGCCGTTCGCGCCACATATAAAGACGTTTGCTGTCTCTGCAATAAAAAACATCAATAAGTTAATAGTGCTCCAAATTTCGACGTATTATATTTCTCGTAAACATTGTGTATAATTATACCGATCGACGACAGGAAGTGCTGCTGGCGCACGAGTCGCTGGGCGTCGCCGCCGAGCCGGTCACGGTGATCCTAGCCGAGGTCGAGGGCCCCGAGCTGGCCGCCCTCCTCGGCCTCGTCTACACGGGCAGCGCCAGCGTTCCGAGGCCCCGGCTCGAGGCGTTTCTGCGCGCCGCCGAGGCACTGCGCATACCACTGGCCGCGCCGGAACCCGCTCCGCCGCAACTCACCGATCAACAACAACAACAACAACAGCAAGCTGATCACAAGCCGCAACAGCAACAGCAACAACAAGTGAAACCGACGAACAACTGCTTCGAGGAGTTGCGATGCTGTGACTCGTGGCAGCATCAGCCTGGCTCGTTGACGACGCAGCAACAACAGCAGCAGCAGCTACAACAGGCGGGAGGAGGACGCAGACAGCCGGTGGCAAATCACGTGGCACCCTCGCCCTGGAGTCAGCTGCTCAGACCACCCCCGGCCCTACCGGTTACCTATCTCCGACGGGTAAGTTTCCGTTGGCATTCGATTTTATAAAATACGCCTGCACTACATGCACAGAGTCGCGCAATTTCTCCTGCAGCGATGCGCGCATGTCCTCGAGAGATCGTAGGTATATAGCTTATACGCGATCGCATGAGTAATCTTTGAAGAGTCTCGATTCGCGGAAAAAGTACGAGATCGCGTCTCTTCGGACTCGCGGCTGCAGTTGCGTTGGAAGCCTGTGCGTATATGCACGCGTACACACGAGGCTTGTTTACCGCTGCCGCGCATGCACTGCCGTATACTGCGGACTGCGCAAACATACACACACACACACACACACACACAGACACACAGACATGCAAGTGCACCTATCTATCCATATATAACTGGCCTTAACTCGGCACAGTCCGGGGCGTATACTCGGTATATGCAAACAATCCCGCGAGCTCTTTTCTCCTTGCTCGGCTACTTTTCTCTCTCTTTCACTCGAGCTCACTCGAGTTCCATGTGTGTGTGTGTGTGTGTCTGTCTTTTCCTTTTCCTTTTTTTTCCACATCCAGAGTCGCGCGTTCGGTAGTAGTTAGCGGGGCCGATTAAAAATTGCCCATTACACACAGAGGCGTGCAGCAGAGTGCAGAGCCTCGAGTGCATTTACATTGGCCGTAAGCACGACAGAGGACACACATAGAGCATAACAGGGAGACTCTTTGTGAGGAGCTACGGCGGCGCGCCACCATGCAGTAGGCCGACGACTATTTGCACAGCACTCGACGAAGCCGCGCGAGCCAGCCCGTGTGTGCCGCATATTCACTAGACTATATGGACCCGCGGCTAATATACCTGTATGCAATACGGCTTCCGGGATTCTTCGGCGGTTCTTAATGTATGCGCGCGCACGCATACACTCACGGGCCGCGGCACGCGGTTCAGCGTCAACCGATAATTCCTGCTAATTTCACCTGCTTTTCTCTATAGCGAATTCCTATATTATACGTACATACACACACACACACACACATAACAAGTGCATTATAAGCAGCTTTACTATGTGTATCGCTGTATATACCTGCGCCGAGCTTACACCTTTTTACACACGCTAACTCTTATATATACCGTGCGTGAGCGCGCTTGTGGCCGATCTTCGCTGCGCCCATGTGTACCGAGAAGATTAACTCGCTCTGCGGCGAGATCGCCTCGCTCGGCGACCAACTATGTAACGATTAGTCGTTTGCACCCGCGCGACTAAGTAAGACCAATGCCATTCGATAACGGCCCCGCGACTAAAGCAGTCCCGAGAGCTATATTTATCGCGACGATCTGTACTTTGTACGAGCGAGATATTTTATTCCTATGCAAATCCAATTCGAGACGCGTAAGTGTATAATATACGGTCGAGGGAGCTTTGCGTTTGCTACGTATAAATCATCAAGATCGGTTATGTAATATTGGTATATTTTGAATTATAAAAAGTCACATATATGGGGAATATTTTTTCGACAGATATTCTTATAAAGAGCCTTTAAAACGTAGCATTGTCTTTGAAATACTTAAAATGTAATTACTTGAAATACTTAATTAACATAAATCCATGAAGAATTTTTAAAACACAGTTTCAAGCGCAAATCGCTAAAAATGCATTTCTTGCCTTGATAAAAATGCTTAACATTAATATTAGTTAAACATCCACCACTAGATGGCGAGTACCTTGTTATGTAAATCTGCAAGTAGCAAGTTCAAAATGATTGTATAAGTCTAAGCAGGGTTTTGGTAAATATAAAGTCTCTTGATTGTAAGTAATTTCTTCTTGAGCAAGTTGATATAACTTGTCATATTTTCAACATCGTATCGCGCATCAATTAATGTCGTTCAACGAGTGACCAATTTCGTTTCTCTGCCATTTTGGCTTCTACGCATCATTTTTTCTCGCACGAATGCAATTTCTCCTCATACCTATCCTTTTCGCAACCTTATATTTATCGTACAAGCCCGTAGCAGTGATCGTTTTAACATTGTTCGGGTCGCGTGGCCGCATGAAGCAGGCCCAGCGCACCTGGTTACTTGCACGCGGCGGCTCGGTGTCAAGCTCGATCCTATACGTTCATGCCGCGGTGGTGCGCGCGCTCGCGTGATCACGATCTGCCTGTCTCGATGTAGCGTTCAAGAGTGTGTGTGTGTGTGTATGTGTGATAGTTTCCGTTGGCTGCTGCTGATCGCGATCGAGAGCTGCATTCGTGTACGCTGTATATATATAGCCTTGTGCACTTGCCCTCTGCGCCGCCGCCGCTGCTGCAACTCACAAGTGGAGCGCGCCGTGCCGCTGCTGTCTTAGCATTCAATGGCCTATTGTGGGCAAAAACAAAGCAAAGTAGAGAATTTTTATATAAATAGTAGCTATATCAAAGAAGATAGACACGTATAGAAGCCCAGAGCTTAACTAAAAATTGAGGCTGGCTCATATGATACCAAAACCAACTTCAAGGGGGCGCGGCGAGCAACCTAAGCCTGTAATGTATAACCAACATTTAGTCTCTTAGTTACCAAAGTCTTCGTGGTCGAGTGGTCAAGCGCTCGGCTTCGTCTTTTGCGTCGAGCGGTCGGGCCTTGGTTCAATCCCTGGCCGCAGATATTTTTTTTTACATTTTTTTCTCAAATTACAAAGAATAAAGTAAGGATTTCGCTTCTAGCTAATATTGCTTATAAAATTAAAAATACTCTGATAAATTTATTTATTAAGGGTTTTTTTTAAATGTGAAAAATAATAATCAAGCGATACGGTCCATTTAAAATTGGAGTCCGAGATATTTTCATAAAAAAGAAACTTCATTTAACGAAATTGACACGAAATTTTTTTTCGAGGCGTCTAAATATACATTAATTTAATTTAATTTGCGTTTGAATTAAATGTGATTTTTTATTTTTTTGTAGAAAAAAGAACATGAAAAAAAACGTTTGATTATCAATGCAATTTTAATTTTACGACCAATATGAGCTAAAAACGAAATCCTTACTTTATTCTTTGTAATTTGAGAAAAAAATGTAAAAAAAAATATCTGCGGCCTGGGATTGAACCAAGGCCCGACCGCTCGACGCAAAAGACGAAGCCGAGCGCTTGACCACTCGACCACGAAGACTTTGGTAACTAAGGGACTAAATGTTGGTTATACATTACAGGCTTAGGTTGCTCGCCGCGCCCCCTTGAAGTTGGTTTTGGTACCATATGAGCCAGCCTCAATCGCGCCTATAGTTCTGTGCTTCTATACGTGTCTATCTTCTTTGGCTATATATAGCTAGGCGACCGCAGCAGCAGCAGCAACGGCGGCGGCATCGCTTAGACACGGCCAACGCTGTTTCTCTTTCTTTCCTTTTCTCTCTCTCTTCTCTCTTATGTACGCAGCAGCCCGCGCCGCCGCGACAGCTTCTGCCATAAAGTAGCCGAGCTTAAAGTCCTCCACTACGTGTGCATGAGCTCGAGCTCGGCCGTATCTCGGACACATAATAATACCTATCTCATTGGCTTTATGCCTGCGCCTTGCTATACCATACCTCGAGCCCACATGAGCACGCACCGAGCCCCGAGCTTATATTCATTTGCATTCGACACGTGTATTTACTTATTCTTCTCTAAGCCGCACGCGTCTCTCTCTCTCTCTCTTTAGCTCGCTCGTTTTTCATTGAAATATATATATGCGATTATTGCGTTTATACCGGGGGGATAGGTACGCGCCAATAGAGCAACGAATTTATTGCAGTCGCGGCGAGCACTGGTTTTGCCCCGAAAATTATCACGTCTTGTAATCGTTATTATACGGTGAGCAGCTATTGAAATGTTTTTTCTCTTTCTCTCGCGTTGTGTGTTGCCGCGCGAGTAAAAATCCTTCTGTACCTTTATGCATCGAGAAACAATGTTATTATACGCGCGCGCGTGTGTGTGTGTAAGTGTGCGAATCGATGCCCATTGACCATGGCCGTATATACGTGGCCAACAGACGGACAACGCATGTGTACACATTCTTATGGGTTCGCGCTTGTGTGTGTTTGTGCGTTGTGTTTGTGCACGCGCGCGCGCGCGCCAGAGTACCGCTACGAAACACACAGTAAGGCCAATCGTAAAATCGAGCGGAACGTTTTACCCACCCGATCGCGCGCGATCGACAGTACTTTGTACAGCTACGCACCTTTACTTCCGGCTACGTGTGTACTTTGAATGCTCGTGTGTGTCTGCGCGTATGCGTCCGATCGGGCCAGACTTTTCCTCGATGAATTGGATGCGCGTCGCGAGACTACAATAATCTCCATGATCGGTATGATTTTTCCATGTACCCATAAACATGCTGAAATTTAGCTTTAGTAGATATTAACTTTTAATCTTCGTATTATGTGGCAAATTTAAGCACAAAATTATTTGATAATATAGACAACTCCCACACTAATTATTTTATGAATCGTCCATTCTTACACGAATTACACTATACGGTATGTAATGAGATATGGAAAGGTGTCGCAGTGCATACTAAGCAATATCGTGTAGTTTCCAGGACAATATACTCATAACGCAGCAATAAAGTGTCGGATTACAGATCTTTTATATTTGGAGTTTCACGTCGCGATCGGCCACGTTCGGTTCGAAGGACAATAATTCATTGAACGCACGCAGCTAAATTAGCTTTGGCACGCGTGAAACTGCATAAATATGAATATGCTCGAGTCGCCGGTATAAAGGTCTATCGAGTTCGTCCACGACGTTTGCGAAAATCTTTCCCACGCGAGTTTTCTTTCTATATTATAAGCGCAATGTACTTTTCACGCAAAACTTTTCTCGAAACAATGTCCGCGATGCTGTGTATACGCGTTTAGCTGGCTACGCACGTGTCACGTAAACATATCTCCGCAGCTCTTGAACGTTGACGTGCGTATAGCCACGCGGCAGCGACGCGTGAGAAAAGACCCGCACGCGCTTATACGGTGCGAAGCTTTCATGCGCTTCGGGCGTACGAGCGCAGGCAAAAAAGGCTTACAAGCACGAATATAATATCTCTGAGAGTCAGTTGACAGTGTGTCCGCGGACACGCGTGGACGTATTTACGGGTAAAATTATTTTTTTTTGTCCGTCTTTTCCTCGACAGCAGCAGCAGCAGCAACGACAGCGAGCCACGGCCGACGAGACGACCACGACAACGAGTAGCGGAAAAAGGCCCTGCTGCAGCACGACCGCCGCCGCTGCCAATCCGCCAAGCTGCTCACCGGATCAGCCGTGTTCGTACAATAATGGTCGAGTTTCTAACGAGGACGCCAAGCCCGTCGTCGTCGTCGGGCCGGAAGCTGCCGCGACGCATCCTCCGAGGCCGATCAAGCCGGAACTGTCGCTGCCCGTGAGTCGATTGTGCGAGCCCGAAGTAGCAGCTTCATCGCCGCCGGTGACGTCGGTCTGCAGCAGATCGCCACCCGCTCCCCAAATCGTCGCGCCGATCCCTCTGAGGCCCGTGGCCTGCGGCTTCAACGTCGAGCGCGTAGCAGCGGCACCGTCGAAACCGTCGAAGCTGATCGTTACCAAGCCACTGCCACCGTCACAGCCACCGCCGCCGCCGCTGCCGATCGTCAGCGACGACAACAACAACAACGAGCAGCAGGAGCAGCTACACCGCTGCGACCAGTGCTCCAAGAGCTTCGTCACGCGGGCCTCGCTCAAGGTACGTTTTACATTATAGACAATTAAATTCTGAGATAATCCATAAAAATACGTATGTCACGTGTGGATCAGGTGCACGTGCGCAGCCACTCGGGTGAGAAGCCGTTCCGCTGCGACGAGTGCGGCAAGCAGTTCTCGCAGCTGCGCAACTACAAGTACCACCGCTCGGTGCACGAGGGCACCCGCGAGTTCGCCGCCAGCTGCCCCGAGTGCGGCAAGTACTTCAACGACCGGGGCTACCTCAGCAGCCACATGAAGATCCATCGCAATCGCAAGGAGTACGGCTGCGAGGAGTGCGGCAAGAGCTTCAATCAGCGCGTCGCCTACAACATGCACGTGCGCATACACACGGGCCTCAAGCCCCACCAGTGCGAGCAGTGCGGCAAGGCCTTCTCGCGCAAGATGCTCCTGAAGCAGCACCTGAGGACGCACTCGGGCGAGCGACCCTACCAGTGCCACGTCTGTCACAAGGCCTTCGCCGACCGGTCCAACATGACGCTGCACACGAGGCTGCACTCGGGCCTCAAGCCCTACCAGTGCCACCTCTGCTCCAAGGCCTTCACCAAGAAGCACCACCTCAAGACCCACCTGAATTACCACACGGGCACCAAGCCCTACTCGTGCCCGAGCTGCCAGCTGAGGTTCTCCCAGTCGAGCAACATGCGGACTCATTACAAAAAGTGCGCCCTCAAGCAGCAGCAGCAACAGCAACAGCAACAGCAGCAAGTGCCTGCTACCGATCCTTCAGTGACCAAATCTCAAGCCCTGACCCCGCCGAACTCCGACCAGGAGTCTCCGAGTACCATAAAGCTCCAAACGGCCACCAGCTGTAGCTAGCTGTTGTTACACGCCGCGGTGTACGCTTTGTAGTGCGCGAGTGTAATTGTGACTATAACAGCAGCAGCTGTCAGAGACTTTGTGCCAAGTGTGTGATATACATAAGCTGTTTATTATTATTCCAATTACTACGATAATACTTTTTTTTTACCTCTTGCTCTCGCTCACGGATGAGCGCATGTATATTGAATGAAAATAAATCAGATATATTGCAACGTTACTCAAAAACCAGTTCGATACATCGTCGTCCACGCACGATTCATTTTACGTCTCACGCACACCACTGGTATCCCATACGATAATAATTCTCAGTCGCACCGTATAATAGCTCCATCATTCCGGCTCAGCTCAGCTTTCGTCTCTGATATATATACAGGTATTTTCCGCATCTCCATGTTAATTGCTCGCGCGCAGTGGAATATTCACTTGGAGATATGCAAGTGCTAAATGCCAATCGGACGCGAATCGATCAAATTGTCAATGCAAGAGAGAGAGAGAGAGAGAGAGAGAGAGAGAGAGAGAGGAGTATAAGAACGTCGAGGGGAAAAAAGCTCCTGCCGAGTGCACAAATATCGCGAGCGCATACCGATCTCTCTTGGCGCATTTGCGGACTATACGGCAGCAGCCCATTTATTATATAAATACGCGTTATAACGCCTGCGAGTATAGTCTAGATTTTATATAATAATTTATATTGCTGCGCGGTCGGGATGGTGCGCGCCTCGGGAGCGGCTCCACTCCAATATTATGCATGCACGCACATGTGCGATGGTAGATCGTTCCAGGAAAGCCAATGGATGGAGTCGCGCGAACCGATTCATAATGCCAACTGCTGTTCCTGCGCGCACTAGCGCTATACAGAGTAATTCTTAGCCCCTCTTATTTCCTCGCAAGTACAACAGCAGCAACAACAACAACAGCTACACACTATTGGCTTTATAAAGCTAAGTAATACAGTTAGCCGGCGCGAACTGCCTACCCGGAAACTGTACTCATCGGTGCAATCAGTGTGTGGCAGTACTTGGCAAACACATTCACGTAGGCACGCACCTGTGTGTGTGGGGCATTAAATAGCTCGCGCGTTAAATATTATAGGTCTATACGCGGTAAGATGCTAAACGTTTACGAGATATATATATATATACCTTCGTAAAAGCTGACTATTTGCAACGTTCGCTACAATAGGTCGAGCTGTTGGGCTATATAGTTACACGGCATGTACGAGAGCGCAGTTTATACGTCCACAGTACACTTCCGCAGAAAATCGGTATCGCATCGTATGTATAAAGCCATAGAGAGCTCGCGCGAGCCGTATAAATCGAGGTATATAACCGAAAGCTCCCTCCGGTATATTGGCAGCCACTATATCGGGGAAAGTGAGCGCCGGTACTACGCGAGGCTTATAGCGAATATAACAGGACTCGGCGATCGATCCTCCGCGTTCCTCTATAGCCTATAGGATATGGACACAGCATTGACAAATGCATATGGTTCCTCCTCGTCGAGATTTGCGCCGCGAGGATCTAGCTACGTACGATTCTCTTCTCTCGAGTCTCTCGAGTATCGGGCGAGCTTCGATCGAGTTGCTGCTGTCCTCGAGCGACGATTTATACGCGGCCGCGCTTATACGTATATATATAAGCTTTATCGCGCCGACGAGAGCTGATACACGATAAATCGCGTCCGTACGTATATACCGAAGCATGCAGAGGGGGTATTTTTCAGCGATTCTCGCGAAAAGCCATACCTTTCCGCGTACGACGTTCCTTCTTTTTTCACTCCCTCGTATCTGTCTTCTTTTTCTTGTCTGGCATTGCGATGCGCGCGCGTTGGATTACTTCGGTCGACTTGCAAGAGAGCCGCTGCTGCTGGCGTTAATCGTTTTACAGCCCGCGCGCCGTCTAATGTAATTCGCCGCGCGTCGTCTCTTGGTAGTTTTACAAGTAGCTCGTATAGGTCGCTGCCATGAGCTTCGAGTCTCTCTCTCTCTCTCTCTCGACTCTGCGTGGCTTATAATTATACACGTCCGGAAGATGTTTCGAGAGTCGTATGCTATATAAGCTACACGTCATGTGGGAACGCGACCGCACAGAGTCCGAATCTCAGCTGCAGTCGCAGCGGCATCATCGAGCCAGAGCCTATGGCAAGTGTTAATTTTATGCCCGATCGCGTAAATTCACCGTACGATGCATGCCGTATTTGGGTAAAAAAGTCTCGGCCGATCACGTGCGCGGCTATAATCCGATTTTCGCAAGTTTATAAACATAGTATAAGCGCGCGACGTGTAGAAAGTCGCGGTGACTCCGCTCGAGACCCATACGCGCCGCGAGAAACGCCACGCTGTGCGCGCGGGTAAAACGATCCTCTGCGTACGTATCAAAGGCGCAAAACGTTTACAGTTTTGGGCGAAAACGGAAAAGAGAGTCGATACCGAGACGATAAGGGGGGTAAGTTACGTTACGAGTGAAACTGTACGACGTCGCGCGCGGACGAGCAGTCGGAATATATAAATATGAGCCGAGCCGAGAGCGCATCACGAGTACTGCAGCAGACATGTATACATCGGCCGTAACGGCATGCAGAAAGCAGCAGCGGACAAAAGTGCAGAAGCGCGTATACATTTATAAGCGAAAAATACAAAATCATGGTCCGGCGATCTCTTAAAAGGCTCGTATATATGCCATATAATTTTTACGTATGTACACAGGAGGATCTCTCGTAGCTCTCTTCTTTCTCTCTCTCGCTCTCTCTCCCGCAGGATAGCATCTTGTCCGGGACTCTCGTGCGAGCGCAGCAATCTGATTTGGCAGAAAAGTCTCGTGTTCACGCGCGCGCGCAAGAGAGTGAGAGAGAATAATCCTGACAGCGCGAGCATCGAGCATGAGAAGAGGAGCTGCGTGCGTGTCGTTTGCGTTGTGTTAGCGTAGATGCGCGTGCAACGGATTATCTTGTGGCAAAGCGCAAAGCTCCCCGCGAGCGATCGGTGTTAACTCGTTAGCCGTAGACGGTCGTCGCCGATCGACTAGCGATTGCCGATTGAGTTGTTTACTCTCCGAGCTCGTTTGCCTTCTCCGTATACGGCTGTACAGCAACTACACGCGGCTGATCGAGCTCGGAGAGTAAACGTCAATTGGCTGGAGAAAAACATATGTGGGCTGCATCCTCTCTTTCTTCACCGATGGGGCTTAGGGAAGATTTGCATGTGTCAGGTCGTTAGCATCTGCTCTAAGTGACGTCCACGAGCAAGACAACGACGACCCTCGAGCAGCTCCGACAACTGCAAGCGGCGCCCCACATAGCGTATGCAACTATGTATTTATACGCCGGCCTCCGGCCAGTCGGCAATTTCCATATTCCATCACGACAATGTATAATAGTTATACCCGTATAATGCGCCATTATATTATGGAGTTCCTCGAGAACAGCAGCAAACGCGGCATCAACGGCAGCAGATAAGCTCTCTCGAGGTCTGCTGCTTATGGTGGATCGCCTCGCCAAGGCTGCAGCGGTGCAGCGTCCGCGCGCGCGCGCGTACATCAAAAAACGCACATTTACGTATACGCGACTTTCTCCGCAGGCCGCGCGAGATGCGGCGCGTAAATGTGTATATACAATATTATATAAGTTGGAGTCGCGATATAAGCAGCTCGCGTATATTATTATATACTGCAGGGGATCTCTGGGCGATTCAAGGCTCGCGATCGCTGGTACATCTCACCTTTCGCCGGGCGATTTCGCGCGCCGGGCATGCAATAATAAAGTCCCTCCAGCGCGATTTCGAGGGCAGACGAGCCCGCGAGCTCTTTCGCTGCTACCTATATATCGAATAGTTCGAGGGCACGCGAGATACATTGCCAGCAGCTTCGCGTTACCTCAGCGTCTTCCTTGTCTCTCTCACCTTCACCGATACATCTACTTATTATGAATGTTGTTCTTTCGTAATCGAGTACGCGACTCTCTCGCGAATCTCGCCATTACCCCGTCTACGTGTAAAACGACGTGTATACAAAAAAAAAACAGCAATTTACAGCAATATTTCTCCCCGAAGCTCGCTATAATGTGCGTGCGTATTCCAGGTGCATTTATTTGTGCATACACGATTTAGTCAAAATTTAATGTACTTGTTACTTTTCAGGCCCGGTTATCCTTGAGCTTCCCTCGATCGCGGATCAATTTATCTTGGGCTGACTTATTACTTTACACCGCGAGCACGATGCGCGCTCGGCGCAGCCTTATGTGTGTACGGGTAAAGACCAAAGTAGGAGTCTTTGAAATTGGTAACGATTAGAAAGCGTCGATCTACAGTAGCAAGAGCCGTCCGTTCGTATAACATAGGCGGCAATAATAGTAATAGCACATGGCTAGGCACGAGCCCCGCCCCTACTCCACTCGACTTATGCTTTCTAATTAAACTGAATTCAACCGACGCAGATGGTACATCTGTCTCTACTCTCTCACTCGCTCTGCCTGTGCTCCGCGTGCGTGCGTCGGCGCAACGCATACATCAGTCTCATTTTTCGAAAGATCGTAGTGCGTGTCGGTACAAGTTGCGTCGCTGCAACCTGAACAACGAGGAAATATCTCATCGATCGGAGCAAGTGGTTTCGTGAAAAAGATCTGTGTACCTTAAAGTTTAATCGATTTTATTTGTGCGTGAGTGCCTAAAATCATGTGCAACGAATTCAAGGTTAATTTCTATGCTGGAAGCGGAGGTGCCGGTGACCAAGTCAGCGAACATGATTTCGAACACGTGGTGGATCATCTTAACCAACAAAAATTAGACTTTCTAAAAACGGTCAATTGGGAGATCAGAAAAGATCGTTGCACATTAATCTGCCGACTTGATACCTTAATCAGGGACTGCGAGGGCCAACTTCCTCATCCCCGTGACATTTTTCGCCCCGAACAAATTAATTTGCTTGTGACCGATTCTCTGAGTTACTGGCTAGAAGACCTAGATAAAAGTACAGCAGCACGATTCATCGAGTTCGTGGCTCATA